GGGGCCAGTCAGTAAAGATATGAAAAAGAAGCTTCAACCGCAGTCGATTTACGAATGGTTACAAATGGCATGGAAACTACCCAAAAAGTCCGGTGAAAAGCATTATAGAACCTGTCTGGATATTCTGACCAGTTCACTTTGTAGAGAATTCCAAGGGCTATCCAATAGTATGTTTTTGAATAATACATAGAAGAGTAGATAGGAGAACTAGTTGAAATAGCTCCGTACAAGACCCTAGCCAGACATGTACCGAAATATGTGGCAAAATCTCAAGGATTTCATGGACATGCCCCTAGTTTTTTCCGGCCAAAGATGTGTTCTACTTCGGTGCTATCTATTGAACCCAAAAAAAGTACAAAAAAAACCTTTCCAAATCATGGTATTTTTCCCAAGGATTCACCCAGTTCTGATTTTAATAGGGTATCTGCTTTAGCGATAACTGGTATTATGTTCACTTTATGTTGCAAATGAAATAAGAAATCTCGATCAATTGGTCTCAATCTAAATAAATGTAGAAGTACAGGTTGTATTTTGAAGAAAGAGAACGATTCTTTTATTTCTACCCTCGAATACTAGGTGGAATGAAATAAAGGCAACAATATACACGTTGATCTTGCGCATATTTTCGTTCAACACCAAAACTTGTTTCTGCTTGAAAATACTTTAAAAATTGCTGATCAATAAATTCAGATGTTGGCTTCCAACTTATAAGAAAAATTCCTATAGTTTATATAAATGCTTTTTGGATTCTTCACAATAAACACTTACCAATCTGTCGAGTCGAGACCATCGCCGAATCCCGGTGTATCCACAACTGTTAAGCGCAATTTTACACCTTTTTCTTCAAGTTCGACTGTTCGTGTTTCAGTTTCAACAGTCCGATGGATATGTACTAAAAAATGGAAGTTTATTCTGATTCTGATCAATGATTTTGTATATAGACCTTACTTTTTCCAACTGGTATTGAGAAACCATATATTCGATCCGAATATAATTCTGTCATGAACAACGTGTTGACAAATGTTGACTTACCCAAATCAGATTCTCCTGCAGATGTCAAGCAGCAACGAAATTTTATTGATAAAATCTTTCTTTTTTTACTATTTATAAGCGTTGATTCAAATTTACTTACCACCAACCATAATTGTGAATTCGAAGCCACGTTTAAGTGTCTTTTTACGTATTTGATCTGGCAGAGTTGAAAATCCAATAAAATCCTGAAATGCATTGATATTTCGTTGATTCAATGAATAAATATTTTCATCCTCACCTCCATAATTTTTTTTCAGTAAAGTCAGAAAAGGATGCGTAGACGATGAAGTCATTTTAAAAATGCAATAAGTGTACAACTACAATGTTTTTATACTTTTGATGATAGTCTTTTTTTTAATTTTAATTTTTTTGTTCTATTATAGTTTTATGATCGATTTGTAGTTCTAAATTTACATCAATATAATCAGATAGAAGAATGACCTTTTAGAATGAGGTGTCGATAACAGACTATACGAAAAGATTTTCTTCTTTTTTTATAAATAAATCTCTCGGTGGATCGAATTTGGTTGAATTATGAACAAGTGACAGTGCAAAAAAGAGTCATTTCAGTTTTCACTTATAGATTCTATAGTAAATAAAAATGCAAATGAATGAGTGTTACGCTCTGATGTAACAGAGCTGAGACATGAGCCAATTTAAAGTGCGTAAGAATGAGACTTACGCTTGTAGTTTTGACGTTCACTCCTGCTATTCGTCGTCTACTCGGTTTTTGTATACAACTCGACATTCTCTGATATAATGTAAATTTTCAAAATTTAAGGAAATTTATATTTTTCATTGGCACTTCGCTGTGTCTTTTCTTTTTTAAACATAAAACAAAAAACCAATTTATTTCTTCACAAAAAAGAAAGAGAACATCGTATTCAACTTCACAACTATGTAAGAATTTCAAAATTACGCGTGATTGAAAAGATAAAAAGAAGAAAATAAATTAATAGAATAACTATGTTGTTCTACGGATCAATTTATATGGGAAAAAAACGAAACTGTTGTTATATTAGAGAAGGAAATTGCGAAGATATTTGTCACATTTCTATTGTCTTTAGTCTGTTGTGAACATTAATTAGACTAGAGACATGAGTATGATTGTTGTGATGAATAATGGTATTGTATTTATTTATTATATTCAATAAAGTTATGTAATCCCTTCTCATTCTTTATTGTTGTTCGTAGTGTTCTAATTCCAATTAGAAATTCTTTTTATACAAAAAAAATCTTCCTTTTCTTTTCTTTTTAATACATCTAATCTTGCAACCATGTCGAAAACTTTGCAAGTTGTAAGATGAAACATAGTACAACTATTCTGTACTTCACGTGCACACTCTTAAAATTAAAATCAGCATATGTCAGAAAAACAGAGAACCATAGTGGAAGAACTGAAGTGGACTATTTCTGGGAGACAAATATACATGCTCATACATATTATTTGAACAAGCTTACAATTTAACAGAAGATTTGTAGTTACAGTCAGAAATGTTACGTATAATAGCCACTAAAATCCATTGATATTGACTTTGTCTGCGTATGACATAGTGCTGGATCTGGCGCTTTCCGTATTCGTTGTGTTTTATGCGTTATTTGACTATCAGTAACAGGTGACAATTGATATTTATCTTTAATATAAAATTTATTTGAATGATCTAAAGTTGCATATGTCGGATAATATTTGTTCGTTTTAATACCAGTAACATCGTAATTATATTTAATTGAATATTCTACTAACTGAACATCAGCTTCTTTTTGTAATTTTTCTTGTGCATGTTCACATCCGAGTAGATGAGCACGAAGAACATATCCATTATCAAATGTTTTTAAACATAATGGAAAGCTAATACATGGATACCGCATGATCAGATCAATTCGTTTAATACAAAATGAAACGTATCACTCTATAAACACTCAATAAATACTCTATTACTGGCTAAGGTTTTCACCATAACAGAACACTGAAGAAAACACTTTTTTTTTCACAAGTCAAGTGTGCAAGTTCAATAAAAATTGAAATTTAACTTCATTTTCTGATAAAAATCATGCCTTTGTTGTTGTTTAGCAAACTATAACAACACAAACTGGTAGGTAGACAAATCTTTTTGTGTTCATATAGAAAAAATGTCAGCAAGGAGATATAAAAAAAAGGTTTTTTTCTTCATAGAATAAATACAATTCAAGCAACTATAGAAATAATTTGCACACTTATGTTTCAACACATTTTTCAATTTGTAAGCAAAAATATTTGATCATACTTTAACTATTTTGTCGATGAATATTTAGTCGTAATTGTAGAATGATTCAGGAAGAAGTTCCGAACATTATGTATAGATTAATGATTCTAATTGTTGATTAATTATCATCAAGTACCCAAACCCGTATTAACTAGACTGTGGATATAAAGAGTGGCCCAGAAGTTCTGACTCGATTTGAATAATAAATTTTTCTATAGTGAAACAAGTGATTGTAAATTTGTCTCTATGAAGAAACGATGCAGTAAAAAACGCTCTACAAGATGACTATTGATTGACCCTGTTAGCATGTGTTCATTCTTAAATTCAAGTAGTTGTGTATAAAATTATTCAATGTTACAAATAAGTTCTTTCTCATCAAGTTCTTAATTTTATACACAACTACTTGAATTTAAGAATGAACACACATTATGAGAATAGTGATGCTGGTGAAACAATTTCTTATAAGCTAACTTCAGAGCAGATTAATGATGCATTAAAGTTACGATAAATTACGGATCGTTTTCTTGTTAAAAGATCACCCGAGCTTATTCGAAAATATCAGTATTCATACACTAATTGTGATATTGTTATTGTTATACTAAGTTTGACTAGTGATAAAAATATTATCGTTTGTAAACCTGATTAGGGATCGGACAGTTTCAGCTCCTATAGTTTCTAAGAACTGGTCGAGAAAACTGATTACTAGTTTAGTTCTTGTAGAATGCGAACTGCTGACCAGTCTTTTCAAAAGAACGGGAACTGGTATCAGTTCTTTTTAAGAATTAAGAATACAATAAAATCGATGTAGCTGGTTATACTAACTTGGTTTAGTCAACTAAACGTACCATCTGCCTCTGACACCCTATACAAAGTTAATGTAACTAGGTTCACCGGTTTTATTTTATTTTTAATCTTTGGAACGAACTGGAACTTCCTAAACCTGATAAAGATTGCGAGGTGGCTATACTTGATCAAGGTGAGCATACAAAAACCAATGATATTCTAAACGATCAAAAACTTTTAGACCTACGATGATCCTACCACCAAAAAGAAAGATCGTTTTAGTCGTCTTTTATATGATTTGAAGAAGCATGGCTCGATTACCGAGCAAGAATACAGAGTGGCTATACATGTCAGTTCTCAATAATTTTCCTTTTGTTTTGTTGTTATAATGCTTTTTTCCGGGATACTTATGCAATTAAATTTTTTCCTAACACGTAGATTTGCTGAGCAGATCTGTTCATTTTAAGACCTGGCACAACTCTGTTTGACCTTGCGTTAAAAAGTTACAAGTATTTTTCTATAAGTCGTCAAATGGACCAACCAATGCACAGCGAGGTACATCTGAAGTGCTTCTCAAAATCTTTTAATAAACTTCAAGCTAGAATGTTCGGGGTTGCTTTATTTTAAACTAGACAACTAACTAAATGGGCTAACTGACACAGATTTTTCAAAACTTGAATACTGAGATAATTAAATGGACAATTTTATAAAATTGTCTGTTTAATTATCTCAAATATTTAAGTATTTTAATAAAATACTATTATTTAGAAATGATCCGATTTTTCAATTAGATCTTAGTTTTTGGTAAACTGGTGATTTCTAGAAAACCAGGAAGGATTTTCGAGCTGTTGATTGTCTCGAATATCAATAAAGGCTTAATCGAAAAATCGACGCAGATCAGCTCGGGTAGTTAGGTATCTAGTTTAAAATAAAAGAAACCCTAGCTTAAAGGACATTAAAATATCTTCGGAAAAACTTCAGGGTTCTTTTTGAACCTTGGTCTCTGCAAAACTCCTAAACAGCAAAACTTAGAGACAAAATTTGGACTGACAATACAAGTATCGTTTTAGGCTATTTTTAGGGCTTTTACGAAAAAACTTTTTAACGAGGTAAGTCCGAATGAAAAAAATTTGGAACTCTTCCTATATATGTTGCCTCTACCTACGATAAAATCCTGAGCCAAAAACTCAAACATCGATTGAGCAACTGGTACACAAAAAGGCTGTCCCACTCGTGCAATGACTCTTAAATATCACTGAAGTACTCAGATAGACAGCGATATTAAAAACGCACGAATCTTATATTCCCGAGTCCATAGAGAAGGTTTTCTCCATTCTTTTCATAATTTTCGATAGGCAAACTCTGAATATTCCGAGAAAAAGGTCAACTACTTTATGGACCGAACATATCTATGATCCATTTCATATTAAGTAGAAGGCAAGAAAATTTTAGCTCTATATCTTAGAAAGGAAAAGGAGTCAAGATCGGGTTTGAGCGATCGTGTAGCGAAGAGTACATAACTGTATACTGAAGCCGAAGTTCTCCATCGGGTCTCAGGTGTTTTGCGAAGAGACCTTTAGAAAACCATGTCTTCGAGCGAAGAAGCATTGGTTGATTTCAGTCGAAAGAAGCTCGGATGCATAAGACGATTTCACAAAATCTGTTCTGGCCTTTCCTGTCTAAGAAAATCTGAATGTCACACCTGTTCGTCGGTTTGCATCGTTGTACTGTGGACAACCGATTTCATGTCGCTGTCTTCGTCGATTTTCAGTTCATTCAATTTCGACTTTGTCTTTCTTTTCTTCTTGTTGCGCGAAGCTTGTTGTTCTGATTCACATAAAAGCTCTTGCATGGCCTTGTAGCATGGCATAGCGTCTCGTCTGGTTCTTCTCATGTCAACTTGTTTGTGTAAATCTTCGAGTCGGTGGTCGCCATCATCGAATCGTCGCACTTCGAATGGATTAAGAATGGTCAATCCAGAGTTGCAATCATCTCACGGTAATTGTTGTTAGGAAAAATTTTGAACAATTTGTAGGTGGTGAGAAGATGAGTTGCCTTCGTCAATGCAACTCATTCCTCTATTCTGACACTACTGGAAAATGATGACTACAGAAAGAAGATGAATTGCCTCCGTCGATCTTTTCTCGAACATTTTTAAAACAAAACATCTACTCACAAAAACACCGAAAAGATAAAAATTCGATTTACTCTTCCAGCAGACTGTAGTGAAAAAAACACCATCTTTTTTCTGATGTATTTTTTATTGTTTGATTTCTATTTGTTATTTATGGCCAATATATCATGCGATGCAGTGGAATCTGTACTTTCACGCTATATATCCATTATTGAAAAGAAAGCAAACTATAATAGTTTAAAGTAAGAAATACATAGGGGGGAAAACCGATTGAGGTACGCTGTATACTGAATCGAACGTTCTAAGAAAACTGGCTAAACCAGTCTGCGTACAGCGTGACATACGGACTCAGAGGTCCAAAATCTACCCGTAAGAATGAAAAGCTTTCCCCGACGGAAATATTTTAAAAAATTTTCCAGTAGTGTCAGAATAATTTTTTCTGCAGTTATTTTTCAGCGAAAAATTCTGTTTTGCAGAAACTTTTCTGAAAAATTTCCCCAAATCAGAGACCTTTTCCCCCGACGGACGTCGGAGCAAACGGGTATATTCTACACCTCTTAACAGACTGCTTTATCTTATGTCCTACTATCCTCAAGTACAGTCAGAAAGACTATCAGTCCTTGGAAGCGGAAGTTCAGTTTATTACCTGGTTTTTTGGCCGGGTATGTTATAAAAGTCGAAAAACAAGCGCCAGTCTACTACGTCAGCTCACTTGTTTGCTAGTAGAGAATACTTTTTATAGGAGAGATATTCGTTTTAGAACAATTTGTAGGTGTTCTTCTCCTGGATTCGATCTTCCAACCTTCCATACGCTGTACTTCTCCAGCAATGGGAAAATGCGTAGCTGGAGAAGTAAAGCGTATGAAAGGTCGGAAGATCGAATCCAGGAGAAGAACACCTAAAAATTGTTTGCTAGATACATTTTGTCGAACTTTCTAATCGAAGATGTTTTTCTTCATAAGGCTGACATAACGGTGAATCAGATATGAGAGAGATCGATTTTAAAGTATAAAAGCTTCTCCCCACTAAACTTTTAACCAATTTTTTCATCAGATAAATACTGGAATATCTAATGCTTTTCTTAAAAAACAATCCAAATAACAACAACAATAAAATGAAACACAAATATATAACGAATCACCTTTTCAAATGAGATCACACTATGCTACTGTTCTTTTAACAAGCTCAAGAAAAAATATGCAAGATTTATCTGTAAATGTCAATAACAAGAATGAATGATCACCCCCAAAATCCGTTTAACCCGATGTTGTAAAATATTTTGCTGCTTCTAGACCAAGATTATTTTTACGAACAAAATCACGTATATGAAATTGTTTACGTTGACTATCTTGTACTTTATCATGTTGAACCGTATCGTTTGAGATATACAATAAGAAAACATAACGATGTGGTCCTGTACCACTCGGAGGACTTGGACCCATGTAATTGCCTTTGAAGAGAAAGCGACAGATAGTTAGAGATTTCTCATTATCAGTTCGAACTTACATATGGTTGTTCCATCGCTAAAATCCATTTTTTGTGCATTAGCCACAATATAATGAAGATATGGACCATTAGCAGGATTATCGCGGGAAGGCGCATCCGGATCAATCACTACCTTTAATTACGGAAGAAACAGTAAATAAATTTTTTTGGTATTAGCCGTTATACTGACCAATGTCAAAAACTGATTTTTCGCTTTTAATTTTGTATTATCAACTTCAATTACAGGTTTTGTTTTTGACTCATCTTTTGTTAATTCGGTGTTATGATCAACAGTGGTCTCACCATATGTAACCTCAAACAGATCACCGTGTGGGGCACCTTCTTTTAATTCTTTCAATACGTATTCAACATCTTCTCTGTGATCGCCTTTGTTTCCACTCATCGTTGAAAATACAAGTAGATAAATAAATAAACAATGAAATCTAAAACAGAAAAGAAGTCATTCTAAGTTTTTTGAGTTATGCAGCAGCAATACTTTACAGTTACTTGTAGATTACAGCACAATGCATTGCCTGGTCAAACTATTATACATCTACCGTTCTCAAATTATGTTTTCTTCACAATTGTTTTCTTTTTCTGTCCATCAGAACTATTATTACATTAGTTCGATTTATGTTATCAAGTTCTAACGGTAGTTTATCTTACTTTTATACAGCACAAAATTATATGAGAAAAAAAGCATTTACAGCACCTCGTGCTCCTTGTTAATAATCACTAGAAAACGTAAATTTTTACTCCAGTCGTTGAAACCATAAAGCTTTCCCTTGAGTGTTCCGTGGACAACGTCAAGCTTAGCAATAAAAAGTCAGTGAGATTGCATCACCTATCCTGTGGTCTTATATAACACACTGAGAAAGCAGAAATGTTTCTTAGAAGAATAGGGTGTTCCAAATAAAAAGTGTAAATTCTAAGGCATCCTTACTAGTCGTTCAAACTCGAAAACTCGTATAGTCGACTTAAAAAAGCAATAAAATCCTAAACAAAAAACTAGATCCACATTCTGCTGCTACCTTTTGCTGCTTCTTCTCCTCCTCTATGATATAGCATTACATGTTTGCTAGAAAAGTAATTATAAAGAATTTAGGCGAATGTTCTTTATGATGTTAGTTCTTTGCCTACGTCTACATTACACGACATATTTTATTAGTTCATTCGCTTCCATTGGTTTTTTCAATCTAAAACTGCAATGCATTCTTCTCAGTTAGTTTCTATTTTTTAAAGAAAGATGTCACTAATAGCACGTTGAAAAAACATATAATCTCTGCACGATCACAGTTCAGTTGCATCCTGAATATAGAATGAGGAAAGAGCATACTATACACATAGTTGAATTCTAGAGCGTGTTCTGACGCGCTCTCGCGTCAGCAAATCCTAACCGAGTTCGAAATGACACCGCTCCGACGCTCCTGGGGATTGACCAATGTGAAAATACTGAAAATGACCCTCTCGAATAATTTGCGGGACGTTGTATGAGCTACAAATGCGCTTCGAGCTGCATATGTGTATAAGTTATTTGACCATAACGCATGTGTAGGAGATGCAGCTAATCACTGATTGATCGATGTTTAATAGGGTGTGGGTCCTTAACCTAGTTCTATAAACTTGGTTAACTTAACCAAGTTGGCAAATTGCCAAACTGAGTGCGTTAATACGGGACAAGATTGAAGAGATTAGGGTTAAACTAAGTTAAAATGTGTCGTGTGAACGTGGCGTAATCCACTTTGGCAGTAAGAGAACCATCGAAAAGTGAATCACAAAGGAGTCAATTAGAGAATAAAAATTCAAATGAACGTACTTCTCTTACAGAATAAGGAAAAATACCTTTAAATTTTAAAGGAAAATCACTACATTTTAAAAATGTAATAGGTTACCCTTTTCAGCGTAACGGGAGCATTTTGTAACGCAGGCTAAGGTGTTCGGTCGGAATAGTCGAGATAAATTGTGTTATTATTTGACTAAGAAAACAACAATTGATGATATTACTTTTAACAGATTAGCACAACTCGTATAAATTTCGTGTGTGTCATCAATGTGTGTCATGAATTAATTGGCAACACAAGAGAAAGGAAAAAGAATTGATACGTAACATAAATTAATTTGGTAACTTTGCAATATTATTATATTTTGGTAAATCATAACATACATAACGTTTCATTGGACTTTACCAATGTAAATACATGCACACACAATAGTATTACTATTACATAATTTTTATTCAAATATCTTTGAGAATTTTTGAAAAATAATGACCTTCTGTACCTAAAGATGAGTGCAATATCTTTGAACAAGACAGTTTTTTTGAGTAGCAATCAAACATATACAGGTGATAATACAACAACACATACAGGTTGGACATTAACTATCTCATATAAGAGCAATATCAGATCTGAAGAGTCTTGTGACATATTCACAGTATATTCAAATCCATCTGAATTCTTTCATCTAAATCTGTCTATAACGAGATATGTCCAACATTATAAAAGTCTCAGATCAACCTATAAATGTATTAAAATATCATTGAACTTTCTCAAATATGAAATAATAAAATTTAGAAGCTGCTCAGAAAATACAAGTGTGTTGTTGTGTACCTTTACTAATATCTTCAGTAGCAAATGGTAATGACATTTTTTGTTTCTCAATAACGATAATGCTTTGCAAAGTTCATTTCTTCTGTGGTTGAACGTTCACCATGCTGATCGTCTTGATAGTTTTTATTCTTTTGAACTGCCTTATGGTGGTCTACAACAGACTCTTCAGCCTCCACATTGTACTTTCAACTAAGAATTAACACCACGACCACAGCTGCATTATTCTTTTTCTAGTTCTGAGACGCTTCTTAATTAGCTTATACTTTAGTCTGTTATCTTCCAAATTTACAATTGTTCCCCTTTGAGAATATATACGAAAAAATGTTCTCCTTTCAGATTATGTATAAACAATTGTGTTCTCCTCCAGGAGCGCATCATTTGAAATTGTTCTCAGTTAAGAAATAATTAGGAAAATTGTTCTCATTAGAGAAGTCACCGTATATATACATATATATACACACAACATGATCACCAGTAAACTTGAGCAACATATGAATAGCACCATAAAAAACAGAACAAATTACATTATATACACTTAGTCTATATAATATACGGAAGGTCATATTTATTTAAACTATTAATATCTTACAAACAGATGAATATAGATTGTATCTTCATATAACTTTATTGTATTGTTTTCACGTATGTATGGGCCAAATTGCATTTCTAGGTGTAGAACCGAATGACATTTACGAACACTCTAAATAACTGAAATAGAGAAATACAGACTTTCTGTCGGAAGGACGAAAAACAAAGACAAATCGTTATGACATGCAAAATATGCTTATGTTATAGTTGAGAGTGACTACTACCCGTAAAACGATGTCTGACAGATGTTTTTATATTATATTTTTTATGATATGATCAGCCTCTTTTCTGAATCGACAAGATTCCATTGCATGCATGAAGAAATACAAAAAAATTGTACAAAAATAATATTAAAAACAAAAAAATACATCGATTTTTATAACGAAAAAATAAAATTTTCAGAACTCTTGTACAGCTCATATGACGCGTCTATAATCCATTTCAAGCACCATTAATATTTGCATATTTCAGATCTCTAGCTCGAAATGAAAAGTAAATGTTGCAAAGTTTGTTTCTATGAACGTACGAATAGAAAAGCCGTACCTTATCATATTTTGCAAAATTATAAGATTTTTGTAATATGACGTACATAAGCTAAAATCCATTTTTCTAAAAGACTAATGCACTAAGTTCAGATTTGATAATCGGGGCTTCCGCAAAACCTACTATTATCCGAAAATCATACATGCAATATTTTAAGAGTCGAACGATTCGAATCTATTCTCTATTTACACTTTTTGTAACCAAGATCTTGGAAGTTCTTGAATCATCGTTTTGTTTTACGCTCTTGCGTAAATATAAGAGCGAATATTTGCACATTTAGGATTACTTCGAATTTTTTTCCTTCTTAACCGTAGTTGTTTAAGGAAGAACCTATGATACTATATCTGATGGCTATGGCTGTCATAAATGAAAATAAAATGTAAAGAAAAATTTTCACTTAAGATTTTGCAAAATTTGTTTCCGAGATCTTGAGTGAAACATTCAGGGATCCAAGATCTTGACTTCCTAGTGTTTTTTCCAAGATGTTGTGACATTTCTTAACCCAAAATCTTGGATACAAGAAGTTTCACTAGGGTTTCACTAGGGTTTTCATTAAGATTCGAAAATTAGCAACTTGACAGTAGTAGACATGGTAGGTACGTTACCATGAGATGTCTACTTGAATTTTCCATAGATTTTAGTAGGTCTTGTCGACAAACCGTGAAAATGTAAATTCTTGTGAAAACTTTCAGGGTTTTTGTTTGTGTGAAGGAAACAAGGAGTTTTAATTTTAAAGGGAGTTTTGGTGCAAAATGGCTGGTTTTGTTCTTTCTGTTACCTCTCCCTCTCTGAACGCTCGTCAGAGCGGTCAGACGGATAGTGTCAGGTATCCTTGAAAGACGTATGACGAGAATGGAGTTTTTCCGTACTCTATTTGTAAAAACAGAAGGAGAAAAACATATCGTTTAAATATAATTCCTAAAATATAGAACGAAAAAACACAAATTTTTAGTACGTCTTTTAAGAACACGATTAGAAGTGTCGGTTTATTGCATGATCGTATTGAATGAATGTTTGAATGAGAATATTTCTTCTTTAAATAGCAACTCTTCACTATGTTCAATAGGCTATGAGTATGTGTAGGAAGAAAGTGTTCACATTTTTGCCCGCAAGAGCAACGTTGACAAGCTTTTTCTATAAGACATCAGTCAAGTAATATCCGCGACCACTCTATTGTGAATGGATAGTCGTATATATATATATATATATAAAAAGTGGACGGATAGTGTATTTTTTATAAAAAAACAAAAAAACATTGAATCTACAATATAAGTTAACAACTAACTTTCAATTAGTATACGAAAAATATAATCAACGTCAACTAACTGCTGATTTCAAAAATTCACTATTTCAGGGATTTTTATGCTCATTAACATTTTTTTTCATGCGCACTCTCCATCTTGATGAGATGAGTATTAATTCCATACTATTTGTCACATTTAATTGCACTAATACTTAGACTGATTCAATGATTAGAGATTTCTAATTTTATCCTATCGAAGAAGAATCTATTAGAGAGAATAACTCTCTCAATCCAATGAAATCTATGATCACACTGTGGTTACATTTTGTTCTAACATATCTACTCTATCCCAATCATAGGTATCTAAAAATGGTCGACTATTATTTTTCGTCAAACACCTTTTTTTCTTTTTTTTTCGAACAGTATCGACTAGACGTCTATTAGCTGTTGGTTTATTACTGCTATTATTATTGTTATTGTTGATATGATTATTATTCGTATGATTAGTCACTATCCTCGCCTGATTCGATAGTGATGGTGTTGCTCGTCGTTTTCTTCTTGTTCTTAGTAATAATAAAATAAATAATAATAGAAAACAGCACATCATAATACAAAATACACAAAGAATAATAATTAGAACTATATGCTTTCTTAAAAATGATATTTGATTAATATTTTCACAATTTAATTCATCATTTTTACTAAATGGTTCACAATTTGTATAACCATCGCAAACAAGTGTTGGTGATATACACATTTTTCCACAATCAAAATCGCCTAAACATGGATTTGTTTCATTTATATCATATTCTCTTACCAATGTCCAAGTAAGATTAAAACCAATCAATTGTTCTTTGGTTAAGCGTGATAATGATATAAATTGAACAATAAACCAATTTTCAATTGTTAAATGATATTTTAAATGTAAATATGGTGAATCATCATCAAATAAATCATTTCCGCATAATTCATTATTCACATAGTTACCTCTATTGTCTTTTTGTTTATTACCATGAATAATACGTAATACAGATGTTTGACATCCAATGGGTGGATCTTTTTTTAGAGATCCTTCTACATCCAATGTATTAATAATTATACTAAAATAATAACCAGGATTTGTTTTTAATTTCCATTCACAAACAACTTGTTCTGGATAAGAATTTGGATAATTTGGAGATGTTATACTACCACTTTGTTGATCTTTTTCATCAATATAAATATAGTTGTCAAATGGTGATGAACATTCACTTACTATTGAACTTAATGTCGTTGTTTTATTTAAAAATTTATATCGACCATCAAAACCTAATCCACCATTATTATCATCATTTGTTTGAAATAATAAACGTAATAATGATGTCGATTGATAAGTAAGATAGGGTGCAGGAAAATTTCGATAACCACAATAAGTTTTATTATGATGTTGAAATTGAATATCATGTTTTAATTGAAATGAATACGTTAAATTATCTTGTGTACATGTTTTCGTATCAATATCGACAATATTAAAATAATCATACCAAATTAATACTCGATTATCAATTGTATCATCAACTGTTGTTAATGGATAAAAATTAAATGTACAATTTGTTCGAGAAAAATAATCATTGTCAGATGATCGTGGTGGTTCAAATTTACCTAAAAGAGAAAATAACAATAATATTGATCATTTTTCTTTTTTTGTTTCTTTTATCTAGTTCTTGCCTTGAATGGAACGTGTTTGATAATATGATAAATTGCACGATGATGGATTTAAATCATATTCGTCAGCTGATACATAATGATATGATCTTATAAAATGGTAATTAGCTTGAAACCATCCACCATGTTTCAATGATGATTTTGTATTACGATCAACCGGTATATAATCCATTTTTAATAAAGCTGATTTTGATACAAATTTACCTGCAGGTTTAAATGTTCCACAAAATGTAAGATTTGGTTTAAAATCAAGTGTCTGTTTATAATAATTACTATAAGAAGATGTATATGATGTTGTTGGTAAACGTTGTTTATTATCGTATATTCGACTACAATTATATAAGACGATATAGGCCAAAGAACAATCGATATTAAATTGTTCAAATTGAATTTCAACAATTTCTAATGTATATCGATCATCAAGACCAAGAAAATAATTTGAACACGATGTTTGAGGTTTATAATATTTTGGCCAATTGGGTGAAAAGATTTTTCCTAAAATAAAAATAAAAATAATTGAATTATAATTAATTAATTAATTAATGCATAAAAAGTATGTCTATTTACTTACCTTGTCCTTGTCCATAGGATTTTATTGTTTGATCACACTCAGTTCCCAATAAATATTGTCCACGTTTAGGTATAATAAAATCTAATTTTGTTAATTCTTTTGAAAATTCATATTGTGCAGAAAAACCTTTTCTCCAACTGTAGTCTGATGCTGATGGATCATCTTCACCTGTATATGATGCTAATTCATCGTAATGTGTGGCTATAAAATACAATAATAATCGTGAACTTTTTGAATAAACATCGAGAGGTGATAAAAATGTTCCACATAAATCTGTTATATGATCAAAATTTGTTCGATACGGTTGTGGTAATTGATAATTATTAATATTTGCTGACCATGTAGAAAAACTATTTAAAAATCGTTGTAGTTCTTCTGAATCAAGATTATTATCATATAATTTTATCATATCAATTGCACAATGTTGAGTACCAGGAGTTTTATAGATCATTAAATCATTAAATCTTATATGAACACGTTCATCGGGTTGACCAATAAATGAATAATTACAAAATTGCCACTAAAATTAATATAAATTTGTCAATAGCTAGTATAATATGAGAAGATAGTAAATGTACATACCGGTAAATAGGTACCAGGATAGGTTGATGAAAAAAATTCACCTGTTTTACTTATTGAACTGTTAAAAATATAATGACACGGTTCACGATATAAATTATGACGAAAGGGCAATGCGGATATAAATTTAAATGTACCATTAAAACCTCGTTCTGCTTGAGTATCCTCAGTAAAAAAACCGAATACAATAATATGATACAATGATACCAATGTTTTTGGTTTATTTCGTCCACAATATCGATGTAACAAATTTTCATTTGTTAATATATCAACGTCTGATACATTTACATATACATCAAGATAGTCATGTGTACATTGAGGCGTTACACCTCTTATTTGAAAAAAACCAATATCAACTTGTACACGATAATTTGAATTTGATATAAAACGGTAAAATACAATAATATCTTGTGGGTAATAGCCAGGAAAATTTGGACCTATTTTATCAACAAAAGAGGTATCTCTAAAATGACTATTTCTAGCTTACAACATTCTCGCCCACTCTCAGAAATCTATTGGTGAGAAGAACTGTCCGATCTTCGTGCAGTTTGTAGTGAATGATAGTCTGTCAAGATAATTTCACAGTAAACATTTGAACTTGGAATAATAAGTTTCCCCACAGTTATCTTAATTACATGGATCAGAAAGTAGGTCTCAGAATTTACAAGGTTTCTCCTCTATTTTATGAAATTTTCATTCCTTGATGTATTTTAATACCAACTGGACCTTTATGGGGCATATAGAAGGCCTTCTATGTAACGAAGATTGATCGAAAAAGGTTTAGTAATATCGGCATCATAGATAGATCAGAAGAAATTAGGATCGGCGAATTTTCTCGTACGACATAAGAAGTAACCGAAAACGTTAACGTTTTTTAAGGATTATACAGCAAAAAGGAAAGAACTTTTTCGAGATATCGTTGTGAAAACTTTAAGTCCCTTCGTGTGGTCTTAGTAGGCTCTCCATAAACGTTTTGCAGATACTGTAAAAGCATGAAAAGAAAAGGAAAATATAACCTAAAGAGTGTATTAGAATCGTATTTGATGATGCGCAAATCAACCTGCATAGTTTTTTAATGGAAATACAGTAATCCGAATATAAACCGAGAATTAGAAAACGATGTCAAAGTTGCAAAAAGGACTCCGACAAAACAATACCTATGAACTTTAGCATTTTTTTTTTCCATCATCTAGACGTCTAGGACTATCAAAGTACATGAGAAGTGGTTTTGCTCACGGAGTTTCCAAAGTGACTGAATTCCAACATAAATCTTAATGGAAATTTACTTTTTCCGACTCCGTGAGCAAAACTAATTTTTGTAATTTGATTTTTTGATTTGATTTTGCTTGAGGTTAAATTTTTCCTTTTGTTTTGATTCTTGTATAGTATCTGTAAAACGTTTTTGAAGAGCCTCTTAGGAACACACGACTCAAAATTATTACAACGATATCTTGAGAAAGTTCTTGCCTTTTTGCTGTATAATCCTTAAAAAACGTTAACGTTCTCGTTTAAGTTTTATGCCATATGAGAAAATTTTATAATCCTAATTTCTTCTGGTCTATCTATGATGCCAATATTACTAAACATTTTTCGATCAATCTTCGTTAATCATTTGGATCATTAAGTAGGCTTTCAACTTATGCGACAAACGTCAACATAAATGTAAGATGAATTCAATGGAATCATCTTATCGTTACAAAAGAAGAAAAGATGATTGAAAATAAAAAAATAAAATAAAAAATAATTAATGCAATTGAAAGAAGAAACGTTGAGTTACTAAATGATGCATAAATATCAAAATCGTTAAAAAACTTAACAAATCTATACGTACTTGTAAATATTCCACCATTGACACCATACTGTTCAATATCATATGTAATATATTTTATTTCTACTGTTTGACATGTGATATAGTCGACTAATAAATATAATAACAATACATTAAACCATATATTGATAATAATGTGATTATTATAATTCATAACAAAAAGGATAATTATTGACCAGAATATAATCAATTTCTTTTGTTGTTTATCAAATAATACTGACAACATATAACTATTTTTACCGTAAAATAACTGCATGAATCTAGTATGTACATTCAATGATGTTTTCTCTATTCATACCACCAATGTTTATTTTTTTAATTTGTTTCAATAGAATTTGTTTAATTATTTCAAGTTTTGCTTCATATCTTGTAACACAGACAGTGTCAGATACAAAAACAATAAAGGAAGAAAAAACAACAACAATAAAATATTAGAAGAAAATAGATACATTTCGTTTTGTCTCCCTGAGAATGTCATCTATAAATATACAAAAAAAAACAAAAACCAATATATATATATATATATATAAATTATATGTATCATAGACAAAACTCTACATTCTATAGCATATTTCTCTTTCGTATAATATAGACATAATTGCTTTGACAATAGCTGTTGATATATACAACTACCATATAAATGACAAGAGTCTATTGTAAAATACAAATATTGACAACTGCATATTTCAACCAACCATATGTATAAACTGTTTAATGGATATTTTTTGTGTTAATATATTGTTGACAAATTCATTTATCAACAACAATCTCTACATTTGTATTTTTATCTTTAAGAAATAGTAAAAAAAAGAAAAAAAAAAAAAAAAAAAGTGTCAAAATATATCAGTATGTTCAAGAGAATATAAGATGGGACAATGATGATGTTCAATTAGTAGAGAAATTTTATTTTCTCTCTTTTTTTCTTCTTCACTTATTATTAGCATTGTTAAAAAAAAATTCTACAGCCGCAAGCAGAAGTTTTTTTATTTTTTTAAATTTTAAAAAAAATTAAAAACCTTTTTTTTTTTTTTTTTTTTTTTTTTTTTTTTTTTTTTTTTTTATTCTTTACATATCTTACAGCAGACAATAAGAAAATGGTACATAAATAAAGAGTCTCAATGGACAAATTCATCATTTTTATTAAATAGCATTCATTAATAAGCATAATAAAAGTAGAATCATGACAAAATATAACGAATTTTATCTACTATTTTAATTATGTTGGAATAAAAATAATCTATTTAATTTTTTGTTCTATTATATTGCTTTTCAAAAATTTAAAATAACCTGTATAATAATAGTATGAATGGTTTAATCATTGTGACATAAAAAAATATTCATCAAAATAGATTTTATTAATAAAAGGTTGAATAGTTTCCTTAATTGTATACTTACTAGTTGTCTCATAGAGTGTTATAAGAAGTCAAATAGTCTAGTGCTAAAGTGTAACTCAATCATAAGAATTTTTATTATATGACTAAACAAAAAAGAAGAAATTATTTGAACTCATCTTCATCACATCATTTTGCAGACCTATTTCTTTATCTGATTTTTTTTTTTCTTCTTCTTCTTTTTACTCTTCTCATTGAGTTGTAAGAAAATATAGAAAAAACTGAAAAAATATTGTTCCGAAAGAAAAAAAAAAGATCATATATTATTGATAATATAATTTATTCTTTTTTTTCTTCTTTTTTTTTTCTTCTTTTCTGCTACTAGACATATTACATTTATTGATTAGACAATCATACATTTTTTTTTTTCGCACAGCTTGTACGTATTTTAGAAAATCAAAAGAAAATATGTTTTAATAAACTGATATTATCTCTCTATTTTTATTCAATCCTAGATACTCTCTATAGACAATATTATATTTTTATTATTAGAAGGAACCAATCGGATATATTAAAATTGTTTTTCAATAAGTTAAAGATTTGAATTATTTATGAATTTTTTTTAAGATTTCATCGTTTATTAATTCGTATTTGTTATACATTTTACTATAGATTTTGTAAATATGATATTGTATTTTGATGAAATACGATGTTAAAAAAAATATATGAAATAATAAAGATCAAATATAAGAGAAAAATGTCATCACTTACTGAGACAAACGTTTTGTGATATTGTCTAAGTGATCATCATTATCAAATTTCAAATAAAAAATTTTTTTTCAAAATTTCTTAATGTGTATGTATCAATTATCTTTAAATTATATAGGTTAACACTCATAATGAATATAATATTTGATATATATATGTTAAATTAGATTAATATATAAATGAAAATGTAATTAACAAATCTATTTGATCATATTTGACTTTAGGGAAACGAAAAGTGAATGAGAATAATAAACATATTAGCATAAGATAGACTGACAATTAGGTGCGCACAATTGATTCGACCATCAGCATTTGTCTAATGTAACATGTGTTAGATTAACAACAAAGAAATATACAAAGAATTTATCTATTGAATATATAAATAAAAAAGAAAATAAAAAAACCTATATATATATATAGAGAGAGATGCAAGTGCTCATCTGTCCAACATATTTGTCATCGAATAACTTTAGAAGTGTTAATAGTATATACTGTTTGATATTATTTATCTTTGTTAAAGTATCATAAAAAAAAGAAAAAAAAAAAAAGAAAAAGAAATTATTTCTCAACAGGAAGTATACGTATTTGATATATTATCATATTAATTAACATGACACGACCAGAAAACCATATGGTATCCGGTATAATCACATTAATATGTTCAATTTCAGATTAATCGAGCGATAAAAATATCTTAGCTTTTGATCTTTTACAAAAAAAACTTCAACAAATATCCTTAACTATAAGTTATTATTATCTCAACCTATAGTTTCTTGTCAATAATGAAATGTACTCATGAAAAATAATAATAATTTTCTATTAGTTACTTATCATGAAAAATACTCAATTTATTCGTACAGATTAGTTTTGTTTGCTATTGTTAAAAAAAAAAAGAAGAAGAAAAAGAAAAACTGTAGACCAAACGTTTTGGAATTTATGCCGATAGAAACTATTTTTCTTATTATCTCATCTGTTGAACATATTTGTATTCAAAGGGATACACATTTGTTCATTCATTTCACAAAACGAAAAAAACCATATGTATCGATGTATCTGTCTACATTTTGTCCTCACTATGAACAAAAGTTCTTTCGTTTAGCATGAGTTATATAATACAATCTACAACTGTCACGAATATTATTTGATTAAACAGACCATCATCAAAATATCGGAAATTTTAGACAAGAGGCAAATTATCTAGCAACAGATTTTTTATGTATACAAATCGTTATCTTAATAAAAACGAAGATGATATTATTTTTTAGATACAAGGAATGTCAGAGAAAAACAAACAAAAAAGATCAAATCATTTATCATAGACATTTCTAGGAGAAATCGAGATTTTAGTCCTGGATATTTGAATCTTAGTGTCACATTCCATTGATGAAGTTTTATTAAAGTTATAAAACAAGGAGTATCTCTTTTTTTTTTCTTCTTGAAGTTAACAAAAGTTCTAATCAGACAATTGTGGAATATAAGACATTTTTTTTTTAATTCCAGTCTCAATTTCTGTGAATTGTTTTCTAATGTCTTAATCTCCTAGGATCAAGAGAGAGGTTTCTCCAACTTGTAGTAGAAAGATATCGATTTGTAGGAAAAAGAAACAGAGAGAAAGATTAAAAGAAAAAAAGAAAAATTCGTTGATATTATCACGAAAAACAGAATATCGTTCTCAGTGATAGTATGGATATATTGAAGAATTCTATAGTCTTTACAGTGGGTTAAAGATGTGAAGAAATGTATTCATCAAGAATAAACTTTAGACTATTTGGAGAGAAGAAAAAAGTCATTTTTATTAGAAAAGTGAGTGGCATTTATACATTACAACAGAGTGACTACAATTAATCTTACTGTATTTGCTATGAGTTCTTTTGCGTATAATTTTAATGTACAACACAATCATCAGTTCGAATCTAGTGGTTGATAATTTTTACATTGATATCGCACTAATTGATTATTAAACAACTTCTGGCTATCACATTGAAATAGAGATGTTAACATGATTTTAAAGGTGTAAAAAAAAGACGATAGGTAACTTATCGATATTTTTAAAGAGATTCAAATACGAATTCTCATCTAACTGGTAACTTGATAACGAAATATGATGCAATGTTTCTTTCATCGCCAATAAAAAATTGATATTATACAAAGTATAAAATACAATGAAAACGTATTATATTCATATTTATCTCGCGTACGCAATGAAACGATTGTACAATTCTATAATGTGCAAACAATATTATAATGTCGTAAGTCGATTTTTTTTTGTGTGTTACTTCACCATATGTTCATCGCGTTGATCATTTTATATTCATCCAACGACAACAACAACGATTGTATTTCTTTTGCCTTAAAGCTACGAGTCAAAAGAAAATGTTTATTGCTCGCATTGAGATGTCTAGGTTCTAATAATGAGAAATTGTAAAATGATATTATAAAAGTTGTAAAAAAACAGAAGAAAAATCTATTCTTGATATATATGAACAAAATAAAATTTTGGACGTCTAATACACCCATGCCGTGATTAACTTATTGATGTTCAACGGGGAAGAAAGAAAAGTCTGATCTTCTCTACGATGTAAATTGTTCGTTGACTGTTAATATCTAATCATATTTTTTTAAAAAGACAAACATGGAGGTCGACAAGAAACATATTGTACTTAGTGATGTGCTTTTACACTTAATTTCACAATAATCTATCGGTAATACGTTGTGAACAATAAAAACGATATGAGAGAGGCATATACATACAAAAATTTAGCTTTTTTGTCGATTTTATACATCTCTATAATGTGTTTTTTAATCTTTAATTTGAATGAGATCGTAGTTACAAACTATGAGAATAATTGAGCATTACTTTAGATAAATGTTCTCTATTCCCCATTGTTAATCGTACATGCATACATAAATAAATAAGTAAGACTTCCGCACACAAACGGTCATCATAATTTTTGCTATGGTGTGACGAACATTTGTCGAACAAGATAATCATTGATGTAAAAGTAATGAACTAAATGTTGAGTTCCACAGTATTTAAACTAAATGTATTGAAGACCTGAATCTTTTTTATGAGATAGAATGCAGTTTCTCATATAGAAAATCTTAAAAAGCAAATATTATAGTTTTTTAATGGACGAAGATTTTAACATGACTCTTTTGTGTACTGAAAATAAGTTGTGAATGACTGACTACTTTTGCATGATGTTCGTGTTTGATGTAAATGAAATTACTCATTGAAAACAAAATACCTAGAACTAAAATTTTCAGGTGCTGGTGAAAATTTTTTTGCTCTTCAATCATAAACTAGTTTCAGATACAAAGTGTAAAAAGACCATATAGATACAACGTTTAAGTTTCTCATTTATTATTTTCCATCCTTTTCCAAGAAGTAGTTCATCAATAGTTCACAATCGTCATGGTATGAAGAGCTGCATCAGCTGTGGAGTTTTATCAAGGCTGAATGAGTTAATCAATATTTTCATTTCTAAATCAGAGCATATATTTCAATTAGATGAGATTCAGATTATGTGCATCAAGGGTTATTTAAGTACAGTGAGAAGTTTTGCTTTGAAAACCGCTACTGTAAGACTGCAACCAAAACACATTGAAAGCACAGTCTCAGTTCATCGATTCCTTTTATATCAAAATAGAGAATCACACTTGTATTAGTGTGATTTAGCTATAAGTTAATATTAAATCAAACAACATGGATGTCAAAAAAATCGTTTTCATACCTAACTGTGCGCAAACATTAGTTTATCTGTACGATTAGAAGAAAAAAAATAGAGATATTAGTCGCGCCGCAAATCAATTTTTGAATTTATCACGCTGTCGTCAACGAAATCAACAGCTTACATCATTGCTCACGAGAATAATCGATAACAGAGGTTTACATTGCATTCGCAATATGTTTGTATCAAAAAAAGATTTGATCATGTAATACAGGTGACATATATTTTTAGGAAATATGCTTAGGAAAAACAGAACTATTGCTTTATATTGGAAAACCGAAGGAAATTTGTGAGTAAAGTAGGTGCTGCTATGATCTAGAATGTTCTAAGATTCGAAAAATGATGCCACTATACTACCAAAAGCATATAAACCGTTAATACTCGCTCCCATAACATTAAAATACCTGTCACTGATTTGTACAAAGCAAAACTTTATTTTTCGATTCCAGTGAATATCATCAACAACGTGGATAAAGATATACAAATTCATGAAAATAGTACGACACAATACACTGAAGATTGAAAGAGAAACAAAACAAAAAATTACATTATTACAAAAAAACAACAGGGTTTACGTTTACTTTTTCCGTATACACACGCGCACACGCCCAAAAAATGTGAAATGCATAATTAAGCGTTTTCTACGTGGAAAAAATCCTCAAAAATGACATTGAATAGTCATATGTATCATCGTTAGCAGACGTGTTTTTTAAGTTCAGCTATGAACTAGTATAATGCGTGTAGTAAGAAGTTGACCAGCAAGAAAGAAGATATTTACCTATACATATTTATTTTAATCGGGCGCCGACAAATAATTGTAATGTCCTTGTAAACAATGGAGAACTGTGTGGGACAATCAACTTCCATTTTACCTTCACACCTTGAAAAATGGCACGTCTATTTTATGGAAAACCTTGTTATTAATCAAAACAACAGCAACAATAATAATAACAGGATTAAAAAAAGTGACCATTCAAAAAGAAAAAGATATACATGTACATATTCAAATAGATCACACGCTCAGTCAAAAAAAAACAAAATAAAAAATATTCTGAATAAGAACGAAATTATAAACCAGTAATAAACTTTTACTGCGTTTTCTTGTGCACTCACATAAGACAAAAACGACATTAAAAAAAAATAAGACCTAACATATATGACACAACACAAAGCAACATATACGATTAAATTTTACTGACAATATCTTCATTTTTTGAATTATTATTGTCATCCGAATTTGTTGGAATATTTGAAGATATCAATGTTGATGTGTCAACTTTATCAGTGTTATGTCCTGTTGATAGATCGCCATTTAAAGGATGAGAACGATAGTCATTTCTTGTTTCAAATTGTGTTTTATGCGGACGTAGTGCTTCTTCCGGTAAACGACGAGACTCACGGTCACTGGAATTAAATTGCTGTGATGGTTGAGAAAATCGCTGTTGACCGGTACGACGATTATGATAGTCATCATGTCTCATATCATCTCTTAATCGTTCATTTCCACGATTATATGATGCACTTGATGGTGGACTCTGTGGCCGACGTCTATCGGAATTTCCACTAATGCTGGATGATGTATTCTCACCACGAAAACGACTACCACCGCTGCCGCCTGTAACAACAAATACATTCGTATTAAAATATATCTTTGAACAATAGAGATAAAAGAGGAGGATAATGAATCGTAGCAAAATGTAACGCAGTCGTGATTAAACTTAAGCACAAACAACAGAAATATATTTTCAGTGACTTCATCTATTTTGGACAATATTAAAGTGTACCTGGATTTCTTCCTCTCATTGTCTCATGTGCGCCGCCACGGCCACCACGAAAATCACCTCGATGATACTGTCCTCGACCGCCACTATCTTGATGATCATAACCTCCTCTGTTTCCGCGTGTCATTCCACCACCGCGATTATAAAACGGCCTTCTCGAGCCACGATGTCCTCGATACGATGAACGATCTTCTTCCTCTTTTTCTATTGAAATATTATCATCTTCCTGTTGAGCGGAACGAGGATTTCGATAGCGTCCAGATGGAGGAGTATTACTGATAGAATTTTCTAGTTCAGGTAAGTTGGGTGGAGTCGGCAAAAGAGCTCCACGTGCAAATGGGTGTTGCGGCTGTGGTGTAGATGGAGAATTAGGAGTCGGCAATATTGATTGCCCATCTTGCGTTCGTATAAGAATTGGTCCACCGCTACGTGCCGGATTTGCAATTAATGGTTGCCCTCCCACAGTAGTGATAAATTGAGCTGTCGATGAAAAGCGTGATCCATTATGTGGTGGGTGTGGATGTTGGTGATGAAATACGGCTGGACGTTGCTGATGTTGAACGAGATTCATTTGAGAAATTCCCATCTGAGGTACTATATCCTTACTATTAAAATTCATATGTCCTCTTTGATTATCTATCACTGATTGATCATGACTCGCAAGCGTAAACGTGGTCGTTGGTGGCTGCTGTGGCTCGTTATCGCTAGAAATCTGATTTGAATGTGGAGACTGAAGACTATTTGCAGATGTTAGCGGGGTATTAGAGAGAAAGTCATTTGGGTCTTGTTTTGTTCGAATTAAAGGTAGCTGATGTCCGGCAATTGAAGTAGGTTGAAGCTGAATTAATGTTGGACCTAAGAAGTAAAAAGGACCATGGTAAGTTAAACGTATAAAGTATAGCAATAAAATTAAATGTCAAAGATAACAAGCATGTGCACGATAGAACAAGATACGATATATTTAGTAAACTAAAAGTACTCAATAGATGAGACAGAAATGCTAAACGAAAATTTCTAGACTTAAAAAAATGTATCATTGTGGAATTGAGAGTCGTATATAAATTGTGAAGCAGAAAACTGTCATATACCTAAGTAAAGATATTATAAAAGTGGCACACAAGTGAAATCTGTACTACATTATCCAGTTAGCTAAAGTGCAATCAACGCAAAAATGTTGGATCATTTATAGATCTATATCTAAAGTACCATGAAGAGAACGTAGTATATACAGTAAAAATAACACCATGCAGTGAAACTGAATGAATAATGAAGATCAAAGGATCATATCAGAAGTACTCTAATATGACTAGCAATTAATTAATAAATGCTTTTACCAAGTGATTCCTCTCTGTTTTGAAAATGATGATAATGATTTGTAGCTGTGTTTGTATGAGCATTAGAAGTAAGAGCAGTAATAACAGGCACACCGACTGGTGAATGTGAAGTACCAGTCCCAATATTTAATAATTGTAAACCGGCGCCTGAGACATACAAAAAAAATATAATAATACAGTTGGTGCGTTTAAAGCTATTTATTGTAGCGATGTATACACGTATAAAGCGACATACAGTTTTTATAGCACTATTGTAAACACACATACAACCACAGACAGAAAACAAATTTTCCTCTTAGAGAAATCGTTATTAAAGATTTTTACTTACTACCGACAGAGATAGTTTGAGTGTTCATTTCCTAAAATGAAAATCGATAAATTAGACATATTCTAATCGATTATTAGGTTGAAAAAACGTACTTTAATATCAGCAGCACTGTGATGTAATGGTAAACCTTGTTGAGAAACCATGTGACCGTACGGAACTTGACGAATAATTTGTCCATTGGGTAATACTGTTCCTGAAGAAAACATTTAGTTTTAAAAAATAGGAAAGAGAGAATAATGAGGACTACAGCAATATACCGGATATTCGTTGCACAAGTTGTAATTGTTGAAGTTGTGGATGACCTGAGGCCGATTGCACGTGAATAAGCTGTGGTAACATTTGTACAGGAACGCCAGCTTGAAAACTGGACTGCGACATTAGAGGAATTTCTTGCTGTTGAAACTGTCCTGGAAGACTAGTACGAACAAGACCTCCTGTCGATGAGGCTTGTAGTAAAGATACATGTTGATGAGATAATTGACCGTTCGACGTTATTTGGATTTCACCAGATAGATCTTGCTGTCGTTGCTGCGAACGTCCTCCTGGCGTATCAAAACGTGTAGTTTGAATGAGAACACTCGGCGATGTCGATTGAGCAACTAGCATTTGATCGGAAAACGAAGCAGGTGGAGGCGGCAAAAGTCCAGATTGAGATGTCTTCAATACAATCTTATTGTCCGATGCTGCTGATGATACTGATGGCGCTAAATAGCCAAAACAACAAAATATAAGATCGATAAGGATCAGATTTAAAAATTTTTTACATTTTAAAAATGGTGGAATCGATTCATCATCAATAGCACCACCCTCAGCTAAACTCTTTAAACTCATTGTACTAATAACATCTTTTAATTCACTATATGGTATATAAGTACAACCATGTTCAACATCCCAATAATCTTTAAAACGATCTTTGACACCTTTGTTCGTCGCCCATGCGACCTAAAACAAGAGAAATTGAAACTTTACTGTTGTTATAAATGTGATTCCAAGAAGTACATACTTTAATCGAGTTTCCTTGAAATTTAAAATCTTTCATTTTTTCTAAACATCTAGCCGCATCTTGTCTTTCTTTAAAACATACAAACGCACAACCACGCGGTGGTATATTCTAAAAACATGAACCATATTGTCTCTTACACAAAACTATTAACAGTGTAAATTCCTTCTTACATTGATATCATTTATTTCACCGTGTGGTTCAAGTGTTTCACGTAAATCCGATTCTGAAACCATTTTTGGTAAATGTCCTAACCATAATGTTCTGGAACTAACTTCAAATAAAAAGGTTGCGTTGAAAATACTATCGTCATAGTACCAGAAAATATACATACCAACAAGATGATCTTCTTTCAGCGGCGGCAAACCTTTTCGACGACGTTCTTTCCGTTCAGTTTCTTTTAAACGAGATGCAGCAGCATCCCGTCTATTGATAGAGCTAGAACAAACATGCAAGAAGAATAAAGATTTGCTGATAAGAAAATAATAATATTTTTTTCAAGATTTACCCAGATGACGAGCGTTGACGTTTACGATCTCTTGAATCGGATCTCGACCGTGACCGTCTATTTCCGCGAGAATAATGGCTGTCATTTGCGCCAAATGGTTGTGGGGATTCTTCAAAGCTATCAGCATCCATGTCTTCTGGTCTTAGATCAACGTCATTAGGCTATGGAGAAAAAAGTTTTTTTATTCAACAGATTATAATAATCAAGTCTTTGTTACTTCATGTGGTAGTTGTTGATATGATGTTGGATAATTATACTCATGTTGTTGTTGTTCAGTAGATGACGGAAGAGTTTGCTGTGCATTCGGATAATAGACAGGAGGAGGTCGATTCGGATCAAATGATATTGGAAATGAAGTCTAAGTCAGAAATAGTGAAACTAATAGTCTAGATCAATATTTCCCAGCTTACATTGAGCCCAGAAAACGATGAAGGATTGTTATTGTACAAGAGAGGTGGCTAAAAAATGAAAGGGCATCAATAAAATGCAATATTGTTGAGAATTACATTCTACGGACTTGTAAATATCTCTGGTCGGAACCAGATGGTGCAAAATAAATTTGATTTGATGTTAAGTGCGTGGTCGGAGTCTTTCCAAAACTAAAATAAAGATGTTTTCTAAATGAGATAAATTATACTGTTTTAAGATCTTCAACATACGAAGCTGGTGGCGGCTGAGACACTTGTCGACCAGTTGTTTTTCCAGCTAATGATAGTTCATCATCTTCATCAGAACCATAATCAAAATCGTCCAATACACTCTAAAATCAAAAAACTATTCACAGATTTGTTAGAATATATAAATAAATCAAACATACGCCAACAATTGAAGGCATTGTTTCTGAATTTGTTGTAACAGTGGCTGAAACTATTGGCGTATTATTATTATAATTGTCACTATCATCTGATTTCTTTTGGGATCCTAATAACTGATTTGTTATTTGTTGTATTTCCGTCAATATCGATGTTGTATCTGTGTCGCCTGTAGCTTGAGCACGCATTAATGTTTCATGTAATTTTTGAAAACGCCCCAACTGACGATTTGATGATATGGATGAATCAAATAGAGTTTTCTACGTGATAAACAGAAAAATATATTGTTTTATGATTATATAAATATTAACAACAACATACGTACATCATTCTTCTTTTCATCGAATAGTATTAATGAATCAGCTACAAATGAATACATATGTTTTATCATATTAACAGAAAAAAGTAGAAAGTTTACATTTTAAATCAGTAATAACGCCATTATTGTGAATTTCAAATAATTGTCTTAATATATCAGGAGCAAATATACTATTCTTTTGCCATAAATTCAATACACGTGTAATTTTGTTCTAAAAGCAAACATCAAATTATGTGTTCATTTGAAAAGATACATCATATAACTGCTTGCAGCTGTCATATATGTTAAGACTGTTTAAACATTTATCATGAGCAACCAACGGGATTAGAGCTTTCACTTCAGTTTGATTCGATATTATTAAATCTAAATTTCTTACTTTTTCTTCTGGTGGACATTTATGAATATTTTGTACTGTTGTAACAATATTTTTAGCAAATCGAGTTCCATAAATATCTTTTTCCAATCCATATTGATGTCTGGATTGTCTAATAACCGAATCAATTACATATAATCCAGGAATTTTGTATTCTGGTTTACACTAAATAGATAGTAATATCTTAGTTTGTTAGTTCTCATAATTTGCTTTTATTGAACATACTTTTGCAATAAACTTCTCAATATTCATCACAACATGTTTATAAAACTTAATACTTTTAATTGCTGCTTTTGTTATTGACATCATCTTGGCTTTTGATATTGGTGATTTTGTTTCGAGCATACTTTGTAGCTAAAATTGAAATACAAAATGTAGTACTCATACACGTTAGAAAGATGCCAAATAAACTTGAATACCTCCTTCACAAATTCTTTAACAACTTCCTCTTGACTTCCACTCATTTTGTTTGTTGACTTGTTTTATTATCGTTGATCAAACCACATACAAATTCATTTTCTTCAAAATCAATAAAATAAACACAATTATTTTCTTCTTGATGAAACTATGTGAGAAATCTGAAACAAAAGAGAAATTCATCACGATAATAGTTGATAAAAATGAAAAACACAAAAAATGAGTTCATCTATGACCCATGTGTTATAAAAGGTATAGAAGTTCTCGCCCAATGATTAATCAAATATCAAACAAAGTGGCAGGAACTAGCCTAGAAAATGACTCATAGATGAAAAGAACTCTAGAACGTTATTTATCATTTATAAATCAACGCAAATAGATTACCTTGACATAACCGACAGTGTTACATTAATGTGTGTGTGTGTGTGTGTGTGTGTGTGCTATGCTTCGTATGAAAGAAAGAAAACTTGTATTTCTTCATTCAGAGTTGTCAAATATAATTTTTAATTACAAAATTTGAACTGTTACGCAAATTCAGCCAACTCTTTTAAGACTCTCAATTATGAACAAGAAATATTCGATTCATTTTAAAAGAAGTTTTATTTATGAAATATGGTTGTTATTATCATTAATTAGCGTTTATACAAATATATCAGGTCAGATCAATAGCAAGAACAAAGTGAAATCTCAACATTAACATCATGGTAGTTTGATCTTTCGACTAATTTTATTGTACATATTAGTTGTCAAATCTATAATGATAAAAAAATAGTCTAATATTAATGAAATATAAAGATTTTGTTTAAATAAAACAAATGTTTTGCATATTAAGTTAAAAAACTGTAGATATAAACAAAAGTTACAATAATAATAAAGAAACGCTAGGCTTTTTTCCTAGATATTTATTAAATAAATGAACGCTATTTTCAGAGATCAGCTTTAACGCATGACACATCTAAGAAATTTTCACTCGAAACAGAAACAATAAGATTAACTCGAATAAAACAGTTTATACGTTCAAATAAACTATTAGAGTGACCGACGAAGAGAACAAGCGATGAAGAAGAAAGTGTTTTTACTCTGTCAGATGTCTCATTTGTATATAAGAAACAATTAGACGAAAAAAATGCTTGATAAATCGCGTCTCAGTCACTCTAGAAATGTGCAGAGAATATACTATACTCAGAATCATCTATCCTATTTATTTTGACTACAAGAAGTTTCTAGAAGAGAAATAATAAGCCGATATACTGAAAGTTTGAATAAAATCGTATCGTATGTCTTGTGGAACTATTACAACATTTGGAGGTTTCATGTTTTTGCCTATGTACATATTTTGGTTCAAATTTGTAAACACTGTATTTTAATGAGCATACAAAATACTTCTGAACTATATAGTGCTTAAGTGGGAGAAGTGTTTCTTGAGAGAACAATCCTGATTTGACTCCCGATTTAGAGTACAGACAAAGAAAAAGAAAATTTGTAAAAAATTGATTTTGTGGTTTTTGATGGTTCAACTTTATAACAGATTTATTAAATCATGGGAGATTTTTCAATGTTGTCATAGTTCCATGACATGGTATTTTATTCAAGCTCTCAAAATATCTGCTTATCATTCTTAAAACTTAAAAACTAGCAAACAATCAAATCATCATTTGAATAAAATATTTTGAAACAGATGTTTTCAAGTCAAATTTGAATCTGTATTTAGCAAAAATATCTCGTTAGAAATCTTTCTTAAAGTAAGCTCACATTTGAAAAAGTATTTTACGCTCTATTCAAGTATCTCATTAAGAATATGCAGGTTTTCTTCGAATTAGAGAAACTTTGGAGTATAATAATGATCTAACGGCCAAGAAAAAAAAAGAAGTGCTTCCTTTTGTGATTCTTCGTCGATTTTTGTCGGCAGTTTTTCCTTATCTTAAATACATTGCAAAAGAATTGTAATAAATAATTATCCATTCAAAATTCATTGAGCTTGTAATCGTCTAGATGCACTTAAACTAGTGATTTAAATATATGCACTTTTTAAAAATGCATTTCTCTACAGTTATTTAAATCATTAGTTTAAGTGCATTTAGATGATTACAAGCTCAATTAATTTTGAATGGATAATTATTTATTACAATTCTTTTGCAATGTATTTAAGACAAGGAAAAACTGCCAAAAAAGATCGACGAAGACTCACGAAAGGAAGCACTTTTTTTTCTTGGCCGTTAGATCATTATTATACTCCAAAGTTTCTCTAATTCGAAGAAAAATTGCATAAACAAAAAAAAGTCTAAGGTCGTAGCAACGGCATCTCTTGGCCGTCATATCATAAGAAAAGGCTCAACTCGGTCACGATTTAGATGTTGACTTAAGTTTGTGCTTTACTAAATAAGCTTAAAAATATTGATGGAACGACTCCTTGATTATGATATGCTAAACAAAAAAAACTAAACGACAGAATAGATCTGCTATACAGAAGAGAACAAAATGAAAACTATCTACTATACGCACTGAATGTATCCATTGTCATCTAAAAGTCTAGTAGCTGGAGAATTTAATCTTCCGTAGTAATGTAAGAAAAATGGTCAAACGGCGCTACTCGCAACACTGTAAAACGCTAGTAAAGGGGAAAAAAAGCTGAGTGTTCGAGAAAAAAATGCACCGCAAACAACTGAAATGCGTCTTTCTAACAAAAAGAAAAATATATGGTTTTTTAATTGTATACATGCGATTTCTCGCTATTTTAAAAAGTTTCCATTGTATTTGATAGAGTAGCACTAAGTATCACAACTAAGGGAGTTCCTCTTCAAGTAACATACAAATAAAAAAATGAAAAAAAACACTAATGTCAAATAAAAAATACGACCAAATATCCCATATAATTAATTGTTGTTAATGATCATAATACGATGATGTTGATGTGGATGCAATTATTAGAGAAAATATTTTCTCTGATGTAAATGCTATTCCTATATATCTCTAATCAGTTTGATTGAATAACGTAATCGACATTCTTGTTTGTTTTCGCCGTTTTTTTTTTAATATTGTATGTGAAGTTTATTTGTAGTCTAAATGAAGGTCAAGTTGTTTTTGCTATTGATCTGATGTTTAAGTTATTGTGTTCTTATAGCTTATATTTTTTGTTCATGATGCGAAAATCTTTTTATATATGCTAGCTAAGTATGTTATTTTAAATTATAAATTTTGTATAATAAAAGCAATTCTATCGTTCAGATGTACGCTTCATTACAGAGAGAGTATACGCAGCAAGATTGACTAAAATGTGATTGAAAATGGCTACTTTTACTGGGAACAACCCTGCTTCCATATTATTTAATAGCAGAAACATTAATTAATACAAACCTGTTCAATATATTCAACTGAGAGAAGTATGTTAGTAAAGATCGAAAAGGAGATTTAGCTTATTATAAAATAACAATTGATAACGGATATAACAAGCGCGATAAATCACACTTTATATCGTATTATCTATTTGCTGTATAGAAATATTAAAGGGCAGCAAAAAAATACTATTACATCATTGAACATAAGATACAAATACATGCCTTTATTATTCTTGGAGACAGAAATTCTGTCTCTCAAACTATGGATAACAGTAAGAGGAAAAGGAAGCGACTAAAAACGGAAAAACCCACATCCAAAAGTGAAGAAAACAATCCTCGAGGATAATACATGAGAAAGTGTCGCATCGGTTAGTAATGATAATTTTGACTTTTATTTCCAGTTACTTATTTTGCGATGTATTTCCTTAGTTCATTAGGAATAATAATTTTTCTTTTTCCAAAGACAGTGTTAGTTTTTGCATGATTGTATCTAATGGAGTCCTGCAGTTATAATATATCGCTGCTATATCGTTATTCTCTTAAATTTTAACAGAAATTGGCTCTGCTTAGATCACAGAATAAATATGGATAGTTTCAAGTTTAATAAAAATATTAGTTATAGTAATTCGTGTGAAGAAGACTAATAAATGTTTAATGTACCCAAAATTTCGTACAATACTACCAAAAAGAACCCTTTTGATGACGGATGAATAGAAAAATGTAAATCCCTTAGAAAATATCCTTAGTTTAATAGAATTATTAGCAATCAGTTATTCTATAAATCGCTAATCTGTCATTTCCTGGATAAAACGTGAGAAGAGATTATAAAAAACTTTCTTACCATTTTTTTTCTTCTTGGTCACATAAAATATTTTTTGTTCGTTTGTCTTTTGATTTCATAAAGTTGAGCTGAAAATATACGAAAAAAATTGTCCATTAGCTGACGTCAGGAAACCAGCTCAAGAGAGTAAAGGAAATGTTTATTGTAGAAATGCTAGTCGAAGTATTTTCATAAACAAAATAGACAAGAGTGGGATTTATGCTTAAGCTACAAAGAAATGTTCATCATGAGGAGAGATTTTAGCAAAAAAAACAATAATCACAAAAAAAAAGCAAATATTTACCATTTTCTATAAGTGAAATAAATATTATCATCCATAATCACAGTCATGAATAATGTTGTATGCTCCATACTGCCAAACGACCACTTTATCTAGTCGTAAATGTCGAGGAAAGGAAGAGATCCTGTTCCAATAGTTGTAAAAAAACATTTTCAAGCTTTGAAAGCCTGAACATCGATGTTTTGACTATTGAAACACAACGTAAACATTGAATTTTAACTTTTGTAGACAAATTTTTCGCTTCTCCTCACATCGGATCTTTGATACGTTTGTATCATTCCAGTCATAATTATTCTTTGCCCCAATTTCAATTTTGTTGCGAACCATGATTGATCTAGAAATAATCGTCATAAGACATCTAGTACATTTAACATACTAATGTTGAAAAAAACTATTGGGTCAAGATTTCATTTTTGAATCACAAAAATGAATTACAAGCTTCTATTGAAGAGCTGTTTTGTTGGATAAAAAATTTTCCTCAGACAAAAGCTTAGTAACTTCAATTCTTGATTTTCTCTTCACAATGCAATTTGAACTTTCTCATTTTCTTCTTCCTTCTTACAATAAATAGAGATTAAGTAACTTGGGACATTTAGTTAGAGATGGGTATCACAATTATGTGTTCATCTCAAAGATCGAAATTTTGAAAGAAAAGATAGGTTTACTCTGCCTACGATTTTGAAGATGCATAATGTTAGTGTTTTAAACTACGTCTACTTCTTAAAGAGGCTCTCTGAAATTGATTTAATCACTTTATTGTTTATTTTGCGACTTTATATTGTTTCTAAACAAACATTGTTCACCCCACACCATGGCACATGAATGAGCTAGACTAAGTCTAAATTTTCAGGGAAGCAGTTGAGTAGATGTTAAAACAGAGTGAATAAGTAATCTAGGTCTTCCTCGCTCTCTCATGAGATCGGACAAAATGGGATTCCATTAAAACGCTGTGAAAGACTCCTCACAAAATCATTAATTTAAAAGGACAAGATGATTGTGTGCAGACATTTTTATTTAAAAATAAAATTCTGATTAGTTCTAACGTGCGTATTTTTTTTATTTATTTATTTAAAAGAGATAGAATACAACTGCCAATGTGACAGACGAGAACTGCATGGAAGATGTCGTTCGTACTCGTTGAATTTGATGTAGAACGAAAGGATGCGGATCAGAGACCGAATCGGGTCAAATGAGTTTGACCCAAACCCGACCCGACACGACTGTTTTCTGACCCAACTCGAACTCGATCCTAAATTTTTTTCCCTGACCCGAATGAATACCGAAAAAATTTTGGGCAGGTCTGTTGACAGTTCCGCAAGGAACAATTGACACCCAATCGAATTGGCAGTAAGAAGTTATTGACAGTCCAAAATGCACTTACACACTGCATAAATGTGCTATTTAAAAAGTTCATCATCTCCACGTAGGATTGAAGTACTGTCAGTAGCTTCTTGCTGCCAGGCTTTGAACTGTCAGTAGCTCTTTGCTTCTAGTCTCGGGACTGTCAATAACTCCTTGCTGTCACCCCAGGACTGTCAATTCGCATTCCGAAAAATTTTTTCGCACGCAGGAAAAAGAATGTAACTTTAGATTTTTTCGCAAAAAAACGCATGAAAAATTAAAAATTATATCAAAAAACAGTGCGTTTACATTCACTTTTTTCAGACTGTTTTTTTACCGTGAGCGAACCGTTCACAAACAAGCTTTATTTTTGACTACTCTCCTTAAAAGTAGTGTTTTGTAATTATTTTAGTTTTTTTGTTGCCATTTCTAGACCAATTCCAAGACCAATGCACCATCCTTACGAGCGAACGCTTCTAACTGTCAAATCGCTTTCGGGCCAAAACCTAGTGGACTGTAGGTAGTCAACCATGCTGATTCCGAATACCAACATGAGACGGGCTGCTAGGCCTCCAGAGACTGGTTTTCTAGAAAACTTTCCAGAAACTCCGAAACTTTTCTTAATAAGTCATATTTGTAGCACACGACTACCCCAGCTCTACATGACCTTTCTTTGCAAAGTTATAGAATTTACAAGGAAAGCCCTAAATTCATTTTTCCTTTTTCTTTCGATATCTCTGAGCTGAAAATGAATATTTTCTTGTAAATTCTATAACTTTGCAAAGAAAGATTGTGTAGAGCTGGGGGATGTCTCATTTTGATCAGAATTTCGCGTGCTACAGACATGAGTTATTAAGAAAAGATTCGGAGTTTCTGGAAAACTAGTTTTCTAGAAAACCAGTCTCTGGAGGCCTAGCAATCAGTCTCATGTTGATATTCGGAATCAGCATGGTCGACTACCTATAGTCCACTACGTTTCGGCTCAAAAGCGATTTGGCAGCTGGAAACGTTCCCTCATTAGTATGAAGCCCAGTAGAGATGTGCAACCCGACCCGTACCCGACCCGACCCGAAGGTTGGGTACGGGTACGAAGTTGTCGGGTGCCGGTAGGGTACGGGTAGAGCAGTTACGGGTACGGGTTCTATTTTTTTTAACTTACCCGAAAACCGGAAGGTTCGAGTGGAAAACTCTCAAAATTTTAGTGAAAAAATACAGGAATCCAGCTAACATACATTAAGGTTTAAAAAAGAATTACTTGAGAACGTAATGATAATTTGACATGTTCAGCCGAAAAACAAAAGTTTTTAGCTGGAAAACAAAAAGGAGAAATCTTTTAGGTATAAGTCGATTACGAGTCGGGTACGGGTACAAAGTTGTCGGGTCGGGTCGGGTACGGGTAGAAAAAAAATTTTCGGGCCGGGTACGGGTACGAAAATGGTACCCGTGCACATCTCTAAAGCCCAGTAAGGACCGCTTCCACTAATCAAGTTTGGTTAACTTGTATATATAGAAAGAAGGGAAAACTTCTAAAAACAATTAGTGTTTTGTACATATATACTACTGATGATAATAAAATAAAAGAGGTGAATAACTTGTCGACAAAACTGTCTGAAAACGGAGGTCGTTAACGGTATACCATATGGACTCCACTCAATCGCTCCAGAAAACTGTTCGTTCTTAAACCGTTAATTGACGTTTTTTTCGGTGGACGAGTATGTTTCAGATGGATTTACTTAGCAGCGCATGAGTCCAGTTATTGCCTTGTAGAATTTATAATAGAACTTCTACAGGATTATTTCTCATGTAAATTTGGATTCTTAGGAAAAATCAGTTGATCTCTGAATATTTTTCGCAAAATGCCACTCCTGCTGTTTTATCTTAAGCCATTGGCAACTGTCTGTGTTTACACTGCGTGGTTTCATCGTCGAGCTATGAGATGACATGAGTTTTTCATACATGCAGCTATATTCTCAACCATTTTTTCTCTAAAAAAAACTAATTAGTTAATGATTGAGAGCCATTACGATTATGTTTTCAGTGTCCCTTATAGAAAACCTGTTTAGATCAATTATTTGTTAAATTAGCATATTCTATTAAGATAAAATATTAGTCGTTCCTTTCTACGATTGTCGATAAAGACAATCACTAGAGATTATAATTAGATAAAACCGTATATTTCTATTCTACTATAAAAAGGCTTTTACTTATATTGTTTAAAACTGAATTTGATATAAGAATGAAATTCATAAAAGTATAATTTCAATAAAAATAATACAGCAATCTGATGTTGATGAAATAAACGAATTCGTTCTTATAACATGTGTACTGATACAGTATGAATCGTGAATTTAATTAAAAGAACTCTAATTTAATTAGAGAACCAAGTATTCTTATTAGAAATGTCCATGAGAAAATAATCGAGACTGTGTGCTTTACATGAAAAATTAAATTTTATATAAAATTCTTGAAGTAAAGCATTACGAAAGTTGAATGTATCTTTTAAGAATTCATGTATCCTTTTTAAACCAACTTTGAACCAGATGTGAATATTACTAGATTTTTGATCGTTAAGAATGTTTATAACTTACAAAATATGCAATTCATGTTTAATAGAAGAGAGAATAGAAAGATTCGTTTCCGACTGAGATATTGGAATTTTACGAAGATCTTGTAGAAAATTATTGAAATTATTTTGTATGCAAATAATTTATTTTGTTTTTTCAATATAAAAAAGCTGAATCATCTCTTAGACGTTTTAAGATATTTGAACGTCTTACTGATTCTGTTGTTGTATTATTGCTAAGAACTTTGTAGGGATTATGAATAAAATAATGTGGTGATAAGGGTTTCATGTCGTATAAATTCGGTTGACTCATCATATGTGTGTAGTGTTCATGAGGTAATTCTATAATCGATAAATATGTTCGCTGTTGTTGAGAATGTTTCATTGTACGCATTAATCGCCGTAAATTTTGTGTCCAGTCTGTTTCATAGATTGGTTGTGATTGTTGTTCGTTAAGATACAATGGGTGATGGTGTCTTTTTAACACTGTATGATCTCCAACAGTTTCATAAATATTATTCGTCGTTTCTTCGAATTTTTTTGATTTTAACTTTACTCGACTGTGTCTATAATCATTATGGTTAGATTTCCGTTTATCAGATATACACATTTGTCGTTGTTGTTGTTGTTGTAACGGCTGAGTAAACTGATGCGGAATAGAGGATTGATCAGTGTTTTTTGTATAAGAAAATGGTCGATTCAACTGTCGATGTTGACTAAAATCAACAACTTGATTATTTTCAGAAGATGTGGGCAAAGTGTTGTTGGTTGTACAAGTTGATACTGTTTCATCTGTCACGATACAATCTAATATTAATAAAAAATGCATCTTAGTGGATTTGAGTTAGATATATATATATCAATTTATATATACCTTCAGTTGGAATTGGTTTTATCTGATTAGGATTTGTTTCCAATGCGTTACTTATACTTTCTTCACATGTATCAAGACATGTAGACATTGATTCTTCTATTGACTTATCTAAATTGTTTTGGTTTTTACCTTCAGATTGAGCAATATCTTCAAAGAGAAAACAAGAAAACGGTTCAAAATAGATTGAATCACTAGAAATTACTCTTACCTGGTGTAGTAGTGATAGTTGTTGATGATTTAGCCATTTTATAGGTTGTTTCTGTTGCAAGGTTTACATTGGAATTGGCAAATGAACGAAATGAGCTACACGGTGAGATGGGATAAACAACAGTATCAATTGTTGTACAACTCGTGTCCATGTGAGATGCTTTTGTATTAATTAAATGTGGACCCGTATCGTATAATTGTGAAAAATCTACATCACTTGGATATCGTGGAACTCGAGCAAACGTTTTTGATTTTTTTCCACTGGTTTTATTCGGTTTTTGTCTATCAAGTTTATATGATGAACGTCTTTCCTTACCGCAACAATACGAATGACAGCAACAACAGCAAAAGGTGGTGATTAATATAACAATTAGACCAAATATAGAAATAATGACGATAAATCCAATAACGACGTAGATAAGATAAGCATCGTTCGTTAATAATTGATCATCCATTAGAAAATTTATAATCTGAAAAAATAATTATCAATAGTATCGAGATGATTTACAAAAGAAACGAATCTATACGATTAATTAACATTTTTTTGATAGACCTAATTCTAAGACTACATAACTAATTCATTGTCTCTTTGTATAAACTAGCTTCATTTATAGCTCTTCTATGTCATTCTTCGTTGTTTTATTTACTTTTAAGTAAAAGTAACAGTAGATCCTTTTAGAAAAACTGTTTTATTTCTCATATATAGGCGAGCGGAGTGAAAGTTGAAAAAGAAGAGAAAAAATGACGTTTCTATTTATCCTTCATTATTCTAAACTCCTCATCACATCACCCTTATGTATATTCAGGGTTCAACATGTTCAACTTTACATAGATGTTTGAATAAAAAGAGAAGAACAAAAATATCGTCTATTTGACTGAATAATATGATGTTTTAGAGTAGCTTATTTCAGTCGAGACTTGTATTCAAGGGTATATCCAATATATATGTATGTACACAAGACATGAATTTAACAAAAATATGCAAATTAAAACTTGCTCTGGTTATATACTACCAGTGCATCCTTTCTATTGTTTTGAAAATACTTCGCGTCGTATAATCTTTCCTAAATACCTCAATGGACTCTGATAACATGTGTTAATGATATATGTTTTGTGTTCAAATTTTTTTGGAATAGAAAGGCATGCATTTCGCGTACGTACTCGTTCAGAACTTGCAATACCTAGTTATTATTTATAAAGTGAACTATTAGATTAATACGTACACGATATGTTGTTCTATGATTGTAAATGATATTCGAACATCTATCTTATATATATATATACACACTTATCTGCTGACAAGTCAAATAATTTAGAAAAGAATGAAATGTAGTTGATATAATAAGCTGCATGATGTAAAAAGGCAGAAATCTTCTACTAAAAAGATTGTTCTTCGATAGTAGACACTGAAAAGTCAAATAAGTTGTTCCTTGATAATCTTCTTTTACCTATAGATGTGTAATATAATGCCTACTCTGCTCTCTGTACTTCACCTTCAACAGCATATGTAATCGAGAGAGTCCAACTTTGTTGAAAATAGCATAAAGCGGAATCTGAATATATCATGCGAGTAGATTTTTAATTTCGAAAATTTTGTCTTTATCTATTTTGAAGTAATCCGTTTATATAGACCTAGTATGAGGGGTACTCCGATGGATCTGCTGATTCACCTAGAAGAAATGATCAAAGGTAACACGCGTTACATACCTATGAATAAATATCTTGTGTGTATACAAGATCTGAAATTCTGCTAAGATGAAGAAATAAGGAAGACTTAAGAAAAGTCGAAATATACAAACTTGTTTAAGTTTTAGAAAATAGTGTCAAAAAGAGACTAATAATGTTTATTTAACAATATTCATTGCTTCACTGCCGTTAGTTTGATGTTTCGAAATTAGTTCAGTTGTATATTATTAAGAACTTCTTAGATATTTCGATGTGTACAATCGAAATGTAAATATTACGTACAAGATTATTGTGAAAAAGATAATGATTAGGTAATAATATAATACATATTTCTTTTCTCTCTATTGAAGGATATAGTTTAGTTAATAATCATGTGAACATGACATTTTTTTCATATTCAATTCAAATCACGTATAGAGTTCATTATGATAGAGAGTGGTGGTAGTGGTAGTAATCATTATGTAAAAAATCAAATCAAATGTATCATATAATCTTTCATTTGAACAATAATGACCTTTAGAAGGATTTAATTAGGTTTTTTTATTGAACACGATATATATTTTTTTTCTTTTTTTCTTTTGCATAATAACATGTAGCGAAAAATTGTAATTGAAACAAATTTTAGTTTTTTTCTTTTTACTTTTAAAATTGATTAATTATTTTTCGTATATGACACGTGTCTAAATACTTGTCCGATTTATAATCGTCCAAGATCTCTAATTTTATTTATAATAAAAAGAAAAGTATGCATTTTTGATTATTTTACAAAATTTATATGATTTAATGACAATTATTCATTTTATCTAAGTGATCTAAATTTACTGCCACTATTTTTTTTTTCAACACTTGTATTGTTCAATGATTACTTTTTCTACCTATACAATTATTTGATATCTTAAACTAAAGTTGTTCGTTGCATATATAATTATACTTTATATATTTCCGTACTAATCCTTAATCTTATATAGAAAAGTGACCGCCTCAACATTATTTGCTTGACCTTTTAATTGAAGGTACACTTTTGTTTTATATGTCTATGAATTATATATGTAAGAGAGATGTTCATCAAGTTCAAAAAAGAAATGACAATTTATAAGATTCATATTGGTTTCTTAGATGTGCAAAAAAAACAACAACAAAATGAATTCAGATCTCAATCTTTTGTGCAAGAAGAATACGAATTAAAAGAAAAATCAATTCATTTGATTATTAAATAAGAATAATTTGAATGAACTATCATTCTCTTAATTAATATTGTTCGAAGTTTGAACTTCTTTCTATCATCATCACGTTACAGATGAAATTATTTATTTTTATGTGTTAAATTAAAAACAAAAGCTTTTTAAATATAGATCAATCTTATACACCATCGTTTCAAAGTCAGATATTCTACGGTACCGATGATAATAAACTTATTATATCAAACTTTTTTAATATTTTTTCAGCAAATATAGCGTTGAAATAATGTTTTGAAAATCATCTACTGAAAAAATGTCAGAAATTAAAATTCTATATTTCTATTAACCAATAGAAAAATTGTTCATTGTTTTTACATTATTATTTTAATAATAAATAAAACTAAGCATAATAAACGTTTCATTGTCCATAAGGTTCAAGCATGGCCTAATGTTTATTTGGGTGTTATTACACAATTTCATACCTTCTAAAGATGTGACATACGTAATGATAAAGCATGTTTCGCTTGACTTATTCAGAAATATCATGATAGAGCAAAGAAAGAAAAAAAATGTACTCAAAAGGTGAAAACTATAGAGTATATTTTAAAGTTAAATTTTTTTATATTCTAAGGAAGATATTCTGATATCTAACATACAAGTTATAATAAAAATTAAATTTTTAATAAGATAAAAATGTAAGAATTAAATATCAATTTATATCTAATATTCTTTTTATTTATTTTTATTATAAAAAAAAAAAGAAACAAACAAATAGTGAAAAACAAAATGCCTCAGTTTTCATTAAGCGAACAAACCATCTCCAATTATTGTACTGAAACAGGTTTTACAGAACAGGAAATTATTTATGCGTATACAACGTTCATGCGTGACTGTCCAAATGGTCGTTGTTCAAAATCACAATTTAAATCATTTATGCGAAAATCTCAATCAAATCATGTGTATAAGAGAACAAAAAATTTTTTTCATATGATGTTTTCCATTTATGATTTAAATAAAGATGGTGAAATTGATTTTAAAGAATATCTTTATGCTTTATCAGCAGTAACATGTGTCAATCGTTTAAGAATGATTGCAACATTATTCGAATTTTTTGATACACATAAACGAGGTTTTATAACAAAATGTGAATTTGAAAAAAAGAAAAAAATGGCCAATGATTTTTTACATTTACAATCGAATGAAGAAGAGATAACATTAGCATTTCAAAGTATGGATATGGATAATGATGGACTATTGACAAAAGAAGAATTTACACGATGGCATTTACAACAAGGTTCATGTCGTATGAAAACAGAAAATAATATTGAATGTGTACAAAAACAAATATCTAATACATCACCTATTCGAGAAGATACTCTAGAAATTAAAACATGTTATGATAATACATTAGAATCAAATAATATTTGTTCACCATTGATAAAAACAAAGAAAATTAAAAAATTAAAAGGAACAATTAGTCGAGAATTAATACAATTAGATTCACCAATAATATCTGATAATCAAACGTGTGAAATACGTTCAATGAAGATTACTCAAAATGATCAATTAGAACAAAAACGTGGAACAAAGGGAGAAAAATTGAGACGAAAAAAAGCTCAACTAATACATAATCTTGATCAAATTAAAAATACGTTTTCAGATAAAATAACAACAACTAATGATCATTGTATTAAAAAAGACATTGTTAATGATGAATTACAAGTGTCCGATTTACTTCAAAAATATATTGATAAGGAAAAAACGGATGTAAAAAAACATCGAAAATCTAAAGGAGAAAAAGGAAAAATGAATCCTATTAACGCTTGGCTCGATGCAAATATTCAGTCAGATGTCGATGGAAATTGGTAAGTTTCTCACAACAATTGTCTATTATTGTTTTTTTTTCTAATTATTTATTTTTAGTCAAGAGTCTCCTATCAATAATGATAATTGTAACGATATTAATAATCATTTTGAAAATAAACCTGTCGATAATCCCCAACGATTATCAGTTAAAGAAAATCGTATTCGTGCATTACTTCAACATAGTACAATACCACTCGGAGATATAGATCAACATTTATTTCGTATATTTCGAAAAGCTAGAAATCGTTTTTGTATACTTAGTGGAGCATCGGATAATACATCATCAATAGATGAATTTAAATCAACTGATTCTGGAATATTAACAATGTCTGTCTATTCAACAATATCAAAATCATGTTCATCTTTTCAATCATCAATTGATTCCAGTTTTCTTGATGAATTTGATAATAATGAAAATGATTTACATAGCACAAATGAAAATATGATAGATCTATTTGATTCATTAGAGACAATTTTATTACAAATATTAATTGAACTTCGACAACAAAATCAAACTAAAATATCTAAGTCTATCATTCAAGAAGATCAAAGTCTAAAATCCAACGAGCCAACCGAAAATAAATTTAACGATGCAGTTAACAATTGTATTGACGATAGAATTCGTTTACAAAAAATGAAAAGTTCAAATAATACCCTCATAAATTTGTCTAATGATAATGAGAACGATTTTGGTCAAATCCCTAAGCATCAAATTTTGTGTAAACCTGAACAACTTAAAAGCTCGTCTAAAAAAAAAAAAAATTTAAGAAAACATAAAAAAAAAGTATCATTGCCATCATTGACGTCTTTAAACTTGTATGAAGCCTATGATGATGGTGACATTAAAATATGTCGACTTTGAAATGATGATCCCCTCATTCGAGTGTAACATCATAGGGATTTCAATAGGGGCATCAATAGGGATTTCATACTTTTGCTCTCTATGCACATAAACAAAAACTGTCTCATTTGTCAAAACTTTTATTTTTCCTAGATTTAGTAACTTTTTCGTATTATTCTATTTTATTTATTTTTTAAGTTTATTCTGTGATAATTACGATCAAAGAATAAACGCTGATATAGTAAACAAACTCTTCTTTTATCGCAACCGTGATGTCTTTTCATGGACAGATTTTTGGGATTGCTGCATCTTTTCTAAATTGCTATGTTACATTGGTCAAAAACTAACAGAAGTACTAATTAATTTAGCATTATTTAGAATTGTACAATAAAAACATTGATTAAGGAAATACTAGAAGAGCACATTCCATATCAAACAGAAGATAAAGAACAACAACATCCGCAACCATACTTGACTAACTGAAACCCAAGCCAATGGCCAACGACCAAAAGATCACTTTTACGGCCATAATTAAAATAAAACAAATTATCGGTATAAATTAGCGTGTATACTTCACAAATTGGTTAGAGAGAAAAAAAAGCCAAGAACAAGAATAGAGGAAATATATTTTTGCTTCAGTTGCAGAATAAGCTTGTCCTTCTTCATTCCAATGAAAATTGGCCTAAATATCGCAGAATTATCTAGATGTTATGATAAAATTCCTAGATGACCGGTATTGTTAAAGACACTTACATTATAAACATTAAGATAAGGTGCATTATATGAATGACCAATACTATTGGAATCATTATTTGGTGGACTCATCTAAAGATCTAAGTTCATACAACTATTGCTGTACTATACTTTCTGCTTGTGTCAGTATACCTCCATTCTGTTCAATTCTCTATCATTTTCTTCTTTTCCGATACAATACTCAACTTCATGAGATGTGGTCACGGATTTCGAGCGTGTCGTTTCTTCACTGTGCAATGAATTTGTCTGAATATGGATGAAAAGAGATACGTGTGCAAGTTAATATTTATTCTGTTACGTTTTTCGGTTCGAAAAATCAAAAGACATTTAATAGAAAAACATCAGGATTTCAACGTTTGATTTAAGAATCTTAACAGGACAGTTTGAATATGGCATAGCACTGTTTATCACGACTTTTTACCATTTCTTCGTCACTGTGAATTATATTAACAGCTTCTACCATAAGATGCAATGTGTTCAACGTACTGAGATCTGATGCCTCATCATCACCTGGTTCAGCTAAAAAGAAATAATTTAAATTACATATCGTATTGGAAAGTAGTTTAACGTGCACGTCACGTGTAAATCTGGCATTTCTAGACTCATATTCATATCACTTGTTCAACATTCTATAGGTGGATCAAGTAGCATTGTAGAACTAAGCAATTATCCAACAGCTACGTTGAGAACAAGTATCTGAAACTAAGCGAAACGTACGAGATAGCTTTTGTTTCTTGTCCTGTACATATAATAGAATATTGATATTGTAATCTTTCTTCGTGTTCATTTGTTTCAGCAGTAGCAGATAGTTGTTGCTGATCTACAAAACGTACTGCTGTTAGAAAACCCTAGATATTGAAGAAAATTATATTTTAAACGTTGTCACAATTTCATATTGTATTAGCAATAATGGAAAAAGTAATGTGGTGTCACTTACTGTCTTTGCTTAAATATTCTTTACTTTGCACTTGTGACATTTTTTGTGAATGAAACAACAAACATTTACCAGATATTCACGTTTGGAGGAAAATCACAAACGTATATTCTTTCTAGGATGAATCTACATTTTCATATTGATCTAGACAAAACTTTTTTTATTTATCAGATATATGTACTCGAAGTAACACCATCAGCAAGTATCACATTCGATTACCCAACTACACCCGATGAGCAACCACACAGACACCAAGCTAAATATTTTCAAATACCGGAAAGTCGTCTTGGTAAAATCAGAAGTATTTTGAGAGCATGTTTTGGACACTTACGGTCCAATTTAAAATTGGTAAGTACTTACGGCAGTTTTTAAAAGTTTCATAGTAGCTTGTAACAAGCTATTATGAAGCTTTTAGTATTCTAAACGTCCCGCTCATCATTCCTTTTCTACTCCCTGTTGACTAACTTCGCTTCTATTTAGATACGACAAAATGGAAATTATTTGGTGGTATGGTTTGTTATTGTTAAAGTTTTATACATTGCGAATTGTGTTGGTTGTTTTATATTATTAAATTATTTGTTGTAAGTAGTTCAACATGCGCAATATTTATACGAAAGATAGTTTGCTAATTCTCTGTCATTCGGCATACTCGTCCTAATTGGACTTCCATACCAACATAAAATCACTCAGACCATATTTAAATGCTTTAGGTCGACAAATTTTACCCATATTGGACAAGAAATATGTGAATATTTATATTATAGTGAGTATTAAAAAAATCAATTGTGCAAAAATTAACTTATTGAATTTTGTTATATAAAAGCCATTTGATATGTCAATCAGATTTCCTCGAATTGTTTATTGTGATCTTATAGACGAAAAAAAAGGTAACAAGTCACATTTTAGGTGAATAATATCAGATTTAGATAAAAAACCTTTCCCGAGATGAGAATGTAATGTTCGTCTTTTCTGGCAAAATTAACGATATTTTTGACAGTATCAAGGTTTTCTGGAATTGCCTTTTGAAAATGTTTTCAGAAAAAATTGAAAATACATATTTCTGATTATGCACTCTCTGCAGAGTTTCTAGTAAATAACGCAATTTTATAGCGTAGAGCATGATTTTCCCGTTAAACGAAACTATCGAACAGCTTTGACCTATGTCTACATCAAAAGTTATGAGATGTTTATTTTCCGTCTTATTATGTGATCAATTTCTTTTTCGTTTTATGGAAGAACAACTTTAAAGCATTAACAAAATGCATTATACTACTAAATGCAATCAATGAAAAAATTTTTGTAATAGTAAGTGTCGTAAGTTACATTAAACCCATTTCATTTGGTATTGAATACTATAAATTATTGGAATGAGAGCTTGTGTAAAAAGGAGACAATAGAATTCCAAATAAGACACATAGCAGTAAAAGAGAATATTGCTGGATACTCAGATTTGTTTTTTTACTCTTTCTCGTCAGATGCCGGTTTCTGTTTTGAGATGTTTTGTGAAATGGTATGATAAATCCATCAGACCTGTTTTTTTACATAACTGTTTTTGTTTGTTTCAGCTTTGGTTCTGGATGGCACTTTTAGCAATTCTAAATATATGTGAATTATTGACAACATTATTGAAAACATTGCCATTCAACCAAAAACAATTTATAAAGAAACATTTGGATGTAAATGGAATCTATACAGCCGTAAGTTATCATTGTACAATTACTATTCTTACCAAAAAGAATCATACAATCCTTCGGCTAAGCAAACTGTTTTTAATGCTCTCCTGTGTTTTAAGAAAATTTAAAAGACATCAACCATTTTATTGAACATTATTTACGTAGTTATGGCGTATTAATGTTTCATTTATACGAGACAGATCTCAATGATACAATAACTGGGAAAATGATTACCTGATTATTCAAAAACATCTATTGTTCAACTAAAAAGAATTGTAATTTTTATCTCTTTTTTCTTGGTTTTGTTTTACAAGCTGTGTTTTTGTTCATTATTACTGCTTCTACTTCCATTTTTTTAACAAAGCTAAAAAGAACATTGTGTCTTAAAGGTTATAATCAACTTCAAAATTATTTCTCCTTAAACGCCGTGATTAAACGAATAATAATGAGGATGGTCTACCTGACACGAAAAAATTAATAATACAACTTGAACTATAATCTACTTTACGAATACTTTTACGAATTTCTATTGGTTTTTGTTTCAAACCAATGAAAGTATTTTTATCGTCGTGATACATCATTGTGTTGTGATAGCTTCATCATCAGTCAAGTTTAGCTATTCTTGACACATAACAGTAACTCAACCAAACAATAGATAAAAACAAGGTAACGCCCGTCTCCATTCTCTCGATCCCTTGACTTTATTAACTTGGATCTGCGCAAGTGAACGCCCTTTGGCGACTTTTAAATCGAACACAATGATCACGTCTCCCTTCGGTCGGCGCTCGCTGGGGGCCTAACTAATCATAAGACATCTTCTGGATTTCCTTTCTTTTTTTATGTATAAGGTTGGTAATCTGATATAAATATGTAAATCAAAAATCTGTGGAGGTCTAAACATATTTCTGAATTCAAAACAATGCTCACGCTTCCCTTCTGTCGGCGTTCGCAACCAGTATAGATGAGAAATGCTATGAAGTTCTCTGGTTCCACCGGAAAACCATCTAATGTAATATAAAGCTAAAAGGTTTTCTGCACACCCTCTGCAGATCCCAAAGAGGTTGAAAGTATTTCTAATCGATTTGTTATAATAGATTATCTATACACTGTCAGTTTTATTACCCGTATTACCACTTTTTTGTATTGCCACAGCTGACTGCTATCTGGCGACATCTATCCCGGGTCTACAGAAAACGCTTGCTTAGCTCTCTGCATCAGTAGATGTTTCAGATAATCTCTTTGAATATTAATCTCTTATGTAAAGAATAATTTTCTACTTTTGTCTCTTGTGATTCGCTTATCTATAGAATATCTGACAGCCATTTTTCCGTATTTTGCGCACACACACATACAGACAACTATTTTGTTGTTGTTGCACACAAGTCGACAATCTTGAGATCATTTCTGACGGAATCTTGATTTCAGTAGTTTCTTCCTGTGAAAGCCATTTTTTTCAGATTTTCAGTCAGAACCTGATGGTGTGTAGTCATGCGACCATCGCTCGTACAATCAAAAGCCAGTTGGGTACTCACCAATACACTTGAAGTTAAAAAAGAGACTCATTTTTGTGGGACTTTTTCTAGTACATAGTATAGCTGATATCAAGACTTTTTAGAATGTATATTCAGAGTTCTCTAGCCAGAAGCCGTTACTGAGATATCAGTGTTGTTCAAACAATCTCCTGATTCAGACCATAATGGGCTGATCTTGATTTCTTACCAAGAATCAGTGACCATGAATATTGAAAAATTTTTCAGATCAGGTCATTCTAACCTGAACCTTATTATTGATTGTATAGAGTCAGAATCTGATAAGATTGATGTGACCTGAAATCAAGATTCTGTCAGAAATGATCTCAAGATTGTCGACTTGTGTAAGGAGTCGAGAAAGGAAACTTTTTTTCCAATGGCGATATAATACTAAACAAAGAGTATGAATAAAAATATAAAATTTATACACTTTTGCTTATTAGCGTAAAACTAAGTCTTTACGGTAATTTTGAGTTTTATTTCAATTGTGTTCAAAGATACGGATGATTGCCAATAAATCAATCTAATACAACCTGCATACTATTCTAACGGTTACTATTCAAACGGTCTGATCTTTTGGCTGCTAATGGTTTTATAAAAGATGGATCGAAAGCGGAGAGAGATGAGAGAGAATACAGACACAACGATCTGTTTGTGACTTAATTGGCGGATGAATGATTTGTTAGAATATGTGGTATAATTTTAAAGAAAGCAATATCGCTCAATTATTTGATCATCAGATAAAAAGTTAAGAGGATTCTTTTTGTATAAAATTACTTTTTCATCGTCGACTTCTGCTCAACTTCAAATATTAAAAATATAAATATTTTTAATATTTTATTTATATTAAAATATATATATAATAAAATATTATGATTACGATTTATTAACTTATTTATGTTGTTTACTTACATAAATTTATCTTTAAGCCAACATTTCAGTAAATAAAATAATACTGATATTTACATCTACACTTAAGTGTTGAAATCGTACACATGATTTGTGATTTAAATATAGCAGACGCTTGAATCAACTGGTCATGGCAAATTTAAAGGTACTTAGACGTAGTTTTGAGTTAAGTATATTTCTTTTTTATATATGTTCTCCTTGTACAATTGCAGCAAATGTTAGTTTGCACTTGATTTTAGTGAAAGAGAGCCGTATCAGAAAAAGTCTTAAGTAAGTCTAAATTGACACTTAAATAAACACATGATTAGTTAAATTTTAGAATAAGAGATTATCACAAAAATCTTTCGCTAATAACTACATCGAAGTAATTTTAGATTTTTATTGATTAATTTAAATGTTAACTTGCAAATTGTATTGCAATTATTTATCTATTCCATTGAGCTAGTACAAAATATTTTTAATTCTAAAACCTTTTTGCCTCTATTAGCTTCCCTTCTTCAGAGAATCGATGATTTTGCCTTTTCAAAAACTTTTTTCATAAACTTTTTTTATTATTCATGGTATGGTCAGCTCCAGTATATAAATTGAGTATTCTAAATTGAGTATGTGTAAATATATGTGTGATTAATACGAATATTATTAATATACTTAAATGGAAATGATCGTCAAAGAATCTGATAGTAGCTGTTCTAATTTTTTAAGTGCACACCTGTTTCTTTAGATTATATACAAATATATAGAAAAATGTCGAAGCCCTCTACGAATGAAGCATCGGTACCAAAAGGAAGTGCTGGATCACATGCCGAAAGTACAACATTACCCGAAGGGTTAGTAAACAATATAATTTATTGTTGTCTCGAGTACAATTATTTTTAAATAAATTTTGTTTATTAATTTTGTTTTTATTTTAAATATTTAAAATGCTGCTCTTACTACTGGTTTTCTGTATATTTTAGTAAAAAGTTGATATGTGGTGGAGTTGGTGAATCAAAGCCCATCGAAAACGATGACCAACAAATCTATGATCAAGTGAGAAGAATTTACTTTTTTTTCATGAAAATATAAAAATATATTAAGTTATATTTTTAGTATAAAACTCATATTGAGAAAAAAGTTCGCCACACATTTACTTTACCAGATAGTTTTAAATTACCAGCTAAGCCCACATCAGTTGCAAAACAAATTGTCTCTGGTACAAATTATTTCTTCAAGGTAAGTCAGTAAATATTATCATTTTTTAGAGTATCTTATAAATAGTATAAATTGAATTTTAAATGCTAGTTCATCTTAATAATACTTTTGTCATTTATTTTTTCTTTTATAAAGGTTCAAGTTCCAGACAATAAATTTGCTACCGTTCGTGTTTATCATTGTCCATGGGGACAACATGGAACTGAAGATTGTGTAGCTGTTCATGAGAAACTATCTGCTGATTCTAATGAAGCTGTTTCACATTTTTAAAAGAAATATTAATTATGTCATTATATACAAACAAAAAAATAAAATACAAACAAAAATACAAACCAGATTGGACTTTAATGAAAAACTAGAGAATGTAGAAAAAAAAAATTCATTTATTAACACAATTTATACTTACTAATATATACTAAATATGTGTAGATATAACAAATTCTTTTTTTTATAAAATTAATCTGTAAGTTTTTAAATGGATATAATCTATGAAACTGTAAGATAATATTATTTTTAACCATTCTATTAGAGTTCCTTTTTTCACATTCTATTTATTGCACACAAAACATTTCTATACATTCTATTTTATATCTTACAGTCATAGTTATGGTATTATTTTCTATATTTCAATAAATATGCAATATTAACAATTCTATTTTATAACAATACGGTCTCATCTCGTACAAATCTTAAATAGATAAGGCATATTTGCAATAAACAATGTGTGTGTTGTACGCTAAATGATTTTAATCTATTTATCTTGTTTAACATATAGATTCTTTACAGGGATGACATGAATTCGATATAACTGTCGATGATAAATGAATATTTTCATTTAATTTATCATCTACATTTACTAAATTAATCGAATTATCAATTGGATTTGATTGAACTATTGATTTTGTTGTCAGTGAACATGTACCCATTGTTATTGGATTTAAAAATGTTGATCGACGTCTCATTATAAACGATAATGGTTCTTCAGCGGTAGAATCATTTATATTATTTATATTCGTACTATGATGTCGTTGTGTATCTCGTATAACAATATTAATACCTTTTTGTCTCAATTTTTCAATTAATTCATTCATTTTTACTTCACGTTCGGCTATCAACGATTTTAATTGTTCATTTTCTATCATTAATTTTCGATGTTTTTCTTCATCTTCTGTACTAGGTGTTTGTCGTTGATTTGTTGTTTCTTCTTCACCCGTTGTACGAAAAGTTCTTAAAAATTTTGGTAAAAAAATAAGTCCATATGAAACAAAACAACAAAGTATAATTGCAATAGATGTAAATGCAAAATCTGCATCTTGATTGCGTTCAATAATTAATGTTAATGATGCTGATATCAAACAGACAATCTAAAATAAATAAATTTATTAATATTATAGTGAGAAAATATTAGAATATTCTTAGAAATAATACACACGAATATATTATAAGTACACATTCGAACTAAATGTGAATCGTTAATATTTTCTAATTTGATATTACGTGTTTCATAACTAAGATAAATTCCAAGAATAATTAAACAACCTTTAATACTGTACAATAAACCTTAATAGTGAAAAAAATAGAAAATATATTAAAGTTTTACAATATATTTGAAAGAAATACATACCAATCCAAACCATGTGATGTTTTGATCGACATTCTTGTATTTGATAAACAGTTTTAATATCGTTTAATATTGGTCCTTCTCGGGTTTCTTTAGATGTAAAATGTAACGGATCTTTTAATATCCAAATGGTAAACACAATTACATCAATAATCAATAGGATACTGATAATAAAACACAATTCAATTGAAGCAAAATAATTATTCTGAAAATAAATCAAATTAAATTGTCATATATATAATAGAAAGTTTTTTATGTTATCTACCGATGCTTTTTTTGTGGAAATTAAATATACTCGAATTAATTTTGCTAATATAGCACCATAACATATTGAAAATCCAGCTGCCAATAGACACGCTTTAATCTGAGAAGAAAGAAAACAAAAATTTATTAAATAATTAATTTATCTTTAAAGATGATGTGAACTAAACTTACCTGACATAGTTGAACAAAACGATTGGAATTTTCAATTTGACTATCTGCACCCAATACAAATACATTTGTCAACAAAATTAGTCCACCAACAAGTGTACAATTGTTATAAAGTGGTTTAGATTGTTGAATAATTCTAAACGATTGAATAGATTGCTTATTATTACTAATAATAACAATAGATATTTTTATTAGATTACTTATGTTTTCTATGAACTATGTTAAATATTAAACAAGCCAGAGCAAATATAAATCCTAATGCTGCAAAACAACTCATAGTAATATATAATGGTCGAGATATTTGTTGAACTTGAATGGATATTTGAAGTTGATCAAATGGTGGCCGACGATCCACTATTAAAAATAAAATAATAAACAAATAGTCAAAATGCATGAAAAATCTAATATATATTTTTAAAAAAAAAAAAACTGACCTACTTGAACTAGTATTTTTATAATTCCAACATCGTTTTCCATCTTTTTCTTCTTTTCGCAACCATTCAATAATACCTGTTTGGGCGTCAAATCTTGCTATTCGATGATAGACACCATCTAAAATAATTCGATATGTAACAGAAATATATTCGAACAATATGTTTGATGTATATACTTCGAAGTTGTTCGACGACAATTTTTGACATTCGATTTCCTTGTTTATCAAATTTAACAAAACCTGAGACGCCAAAAAATTGTGTATTCTCCATATCTTCCATCATAATATTTTTCATTTGTGAATTATCGTATGACCATTTTTCCAAATTCGTTCGATTTAATGAGCGATTTAAAGCCAGTGCTAGTGCCCATGTTGCATCTAAAACAGAGTGAAAAAAAAAACATATTGTTTAGAATTAAAAACAAGATAAATTAATTTACCATAGGCCAAGGGTGCCTCCACATAACCACCTACACTTTCAACTGATTTGTAGGGAAATAATTCACGAAGTGAAGAATTCAAATCAGCAACAAATGATTGTGGTGTTATATTAGATATTGTTTCTTGCGTTGAATCCGTGAGCATTTGTATTTCCGTAGTAAAATGGCCTTCAACAGCTTTCATCATTTGCTCTTCGGTACAATCAATATCATTTACCTTCAAAAACCAATTATCAGCATACCAACCTGTCAAAAAAACATTCCTTTAGTTGAATGGTCAATAGAGAGTAAACAATTTATTACCTATCGTCCACCAGACATAACCTTCTCCAAAATAATTTTGTTGATAAGCCTGTAAATAAAATAATTTTTATTTATCCAATAAAACTTTTCATTTGACTAACTTTCTACTTACCTGACAAAATACTTTTCTCGCTTTTTCTTCATAGAATAATCCAACGATTATTCGAATATCATCTTTTTTCAAATTACTAATTGCATGTGATGGATCATTATCAAATAATTGTCGAACAGCAACATGAATATTATTTTCTCGAGCTAATTGTTCAAGATGTTCGGCTGTTGATTGCCATACCTCTTCGGTTTGAATCAAAATTGCTATTCGTTTCCAATTAAATAATTGAAAAAATTTAATACGTGTTGGATTATGAAGAGTGGCTAGTAAAATCAAAAGTTCAAAATTGATTATGACATGACTAATTATAGGTGAAAAATATTATTTATACCTGGTGGATGTGTACGAAAAAACGTTGCAAATCGAACACGATTTGATAAAGCTGGTGAACTTGAACCATATGATAAAACAATTAAATTCCACATTTTAGCAGCTTCACCAACAGCTGTAGATACAGGACTACAGGCCGGTCCAAGCAACATCAATATAGAACTATTAATACCAAATGTTTTATTATATAATAATTCATACAATATTGTAGTGCCTAGACCTGGAGAACACTAAAGTAGAGAAAAAAATCTAGTCCGTGGAAGTCACATTATTAATTGATGATCGTTTTATGATGAAAATACGTAAGAAATAGATTAGAATCCACTTTCTTCATATTGTTCTATTTTCTAATGTATCGATGTATATATATGCTTTTGCACTCTGTAAACTTATCACTCATTTTGACTGACGATGTTAGGAATACACTGACGAAACGTCTCAAACTTTAAAAAAAGAATTGTTTTGTTTTAATCATCCTTAGAAAGATGACTTGGATTCTGATCTATTTAATACACACTATTAAATTAAATGCTTGATATATCTAGTTTAAAAGTATAAAAATGAAATTTCAGAAATCACACGAAAAAATAGATCCTTGTTAATGCTGTTCCATAAGTACCACCTACCCGAGTATCATAGGCACTTAAATTTAAATAATATCCAGGCAACACGTCCACTCGTTGATTGACTCCATTTAATGCTTTCAGTGCTGCTGGAAGGCATGCTTCTCCTCCAGCCCATTCTCCGGTCTGTGGAAACATGCCCCCAATCCATAAGGTTTTATCACGTTTTGATTCGATTGGTGGTGCTAAATTGATTTTCAACTGGTGAACAATCGTTACTGAATGTGTTACATCAACAATTAATAAACCATGCCAAATACAAAACAATATGCTCAACATATACGTTTTCTGTTTCTTAATTTTGACTACTTTGACAATAGTGAGACAATGATAAATTGACACTAAAGAAGAATCAAAAGCGAATGATTTCTAATCTCTCGAGCACATGAGGAATGGGAACACGAGACCCTCACTAAGGCTCTGATCAAAATGGCTCAGTCTCACTCAAGGTCAAGTTTTAAATTCGATCAAATCAGAGAAGAGATATTTTTTCATCAACTTCATGCGCCAGTAGTTTGAAGACTTTTTTCGAAGTCAAATTTCTGCCAGAAAACTTTGACTATACCAGTAAGGTGCTAGATCTTTTACAATATTCTCGTCTACAAGGTACAAAAACAGTTTTATACATGTTACAGTTTGTTCACTGCTTTATTCTGTAAATACACGTAAAACAGTTCATGTAACATCTTTTTGAACAAATAATTCTTTTAGTTCCAACTATTTTAAGAAACAGTCAGCTTTAAAACCAAAACTTCTCTCAGCTTAATCGACTAAATCCATACCTTCAATAAACTACATTCGTATCTGTAGAATACCACACACATGTTTAACGCAAACTTAATTCATCATTTAATTAAACAAAATTTCAAGGATTTGTTTTGTACCAATTTATTCTAACATGAGTCCATCGGTATGAATGTGAAGAAACTCTCGAAAAAAACTGAGATAACATAATCGAAGATAAAAGTCTTTGTCTCAATTAAATGAGGAGTTGCACAAAGAAAAATATCCTTCAAAAAATTCATCTTGAACGCTGTTTGAATAGTGATGTGGAAGAAAAAATTTGATCTAGAGTTCTTTGTTTACACTTATGTTCTTTGGTACTAAAAATATTACACATAATTAAGAGGAAACAAACGTTGTTTTGAACAATGACATACAGCGTGACGACAAAGAAAGAAACAAATTAAAACATGCATTTTGATGAGCTGTACACTATCTCCATGTATCATGATATCTTATTGCCGTAGTACTTTTGCTTGCTTCAATGCAAGATATTCATTTACAATAAATAGCTCAAATTACTCACCCTAATTCTTCTGGAGTAATTTGTTAACTCCATATGACAGTATAAATAGATCTTTCCATAGATAACGATAAAAACTGTTATGGTTTGATTAGCTAAACCGCTATCATGTAAGCTCTATTTTATTTATCATTATCTAAAGTACAATACTAATGTGCCTTTTAGCATATATTTTTATTCTGTATTTGACACAAGCACTAGATGAAGAGCTAGTAGCAATAAGGAAGAAAAGACGGAAACCAAAAAATTGCATTCCAAAAAAAAATGATAATAAATCGAAATAAGGAAAAAAGATTTGTCTTATTCACAAGAGTATTGAGAAAAACAAATGAGGATGAAAGCAAAAGAAAAAGATTCACGTTGTTCGTTGTGAAAATATCTAGGACACCCAACAGAGAAACAAGAAGAGGAAAATAATATATCGAGTGAGAACCACCCTCCCAATAAAATGGAAAACTAATATTATCACGTTAATGAACATAGAAAAACTACGATAATGTTTATTTAATATTGAGTAGCTAGTGATTGATCCTATTGTGATAGTACTAATAAACAAATGATCTTATTTTTATAAATGTGATAAATTGTACGCAAAATAACAGAAATACAAAACAAAGATCCAGATAGATTACATGAACCTATAGAGTAAATAACGTTGAGTTATCTCTATATAATAAAGGAGGCTTTTGAATATGAGTTTAAATTGAGAATACAGTATAGAAGGGGTAATTTCCCCATATTAGTAGTTGAACTTGTATTTGTAACAATGAAATATCTTTGAACTGATTCATATTAGTTTAAAGTACCTTAAGATACAATCGGTTGTTACATCGCGCCAAACTATCAACACTATCAGATAGTTAATACATACCGAGATTATCTTTCACATCATCTTGGTTTGTCACTCTTCATTCATAAGATAAACATGGCATTTCGCGAAGTTGAAGGTTTACTTGATCGTATATTAGCGTTAGAGAATGTTAGCGGATATGTTTGTATGAATCCCACTGGTAAGCACTGTGTACAAAACGTTAAAAAGATTTTATTCTATTTATTTCTCTCTCGAAGGTGTTCCAATTCGAACCACGTTTGATGATGAATACACAACAAAACTGGTGACACAATTACATCCATTTTTAGAGCGGATAAAACGAACAGCTAATCATATTGGATTAAAATCAGTGAATGAATTACGTCTTAAAACACAAAAATGTGAGTTTCTTATTCGAACAGATAAAGAATGCTCATTTATCGTTGTACAAAGACAAAAGAAAACAAAAATAGAAACAGAAGATTAAAGCATAGAGAAGTGAAACGCGGATGTAATTTTTTCGTGTCATTGGTTTTCTTATGACACATTTAACAATGTTTCAAATTTAATTTATGAAGTGTAATCTACAGAATATCATAAAAAGCCTAACTGGAGTGAGAGACAAAAAATAGTTATAAAAAGTAAAGAAGCGAAAGAAAAAGTTAAATATATTTGGTTAGAAAAGATAGAGATTGTTGGTGTCGAATGAACTGAATCAGATCATGCTGTTTGATTTATGACATTTTCTAGTTTATATAACTGTTGAGAATAAAGTATGATTAGTCTTCATTTTTATCATAACATCATAAATTTTGATTGATCACTGCTAATATAAAAAACCACATCGCAAAGTAAATCATACATGTGAATAGTAGACAAAACGACTAATTCTTAATTAAGATTACTTTTTATAATTACGAAAAAGAAATGATCTCAGTTGAGAAAACGATTTTTTGTAGCTCCTATTTTAATAACGTATGGATTCTGAAGCTAAATGTGTGCTCAGTTTGCAAGTAACAGGTCTGTCATGCCTATAATTTTAACAGAAAGAAAATTAAAAAAAAATTAACTTTGCCATTCTCATTGTTAATAACATAAGAAGGTTTCATCCAACGAAATACGCGTCATGTGAGGTGGTATTGTAAAAGACGACAATGATTTTGGTAGTTTAGGATGTGTCATGGCTCTTGTTGTGTAAAGCGAAGATTTAATGGTATCAAACAGAGGTATTGTAGCAGCTGAACCATTTTCTCTTCGAAATTTTTTTACTTGCTCATTGTAAACTTGTGCTACCGATGTTGTTGGCTCTTTCACAATTCGTCGTTTTATGGACCCAATACATTCGTAAACATTTGATGATAACTTAGCTTCGTGCTGTGGATAATGTACCGTAGATGTACCGTTCAAGATTTTTGTCGGCCGGGCTCGTAATCGGTCTAAAAACTTTGGATCGGACCGAACCAACCAAGTGCGACCGATCAACAGGCCGGTTTATGTCTTTTTCCTCGATGGGTCGCCGGTTACATCTCTGTAACGTGCCCTTTGATCATCAGTATCACTACTTCCGATAGTAGCATCATCTTTAATTGTTATTGAACACGAAGATGAATGAACTATGCATACCCATTTTTCTGTACAATTTTTATTTAAACGTCTTAGAGTATAAAGATAACTTTTGTATAAAATACCATCATTACCTCTTTGGGTTTAGATTTTAATATAAGAGAAATTTTTGTTCAATTGTTGTTTATTATGTTAATTGACTAGGCCACAGATCGAGATGACATCGTGTCCATATACAGTTTAAGAATCCATATTTCATTAAAATAGGAGCTACAAAAAATCGTTTTCCAAACTCAGACCATCTTTTTCTTAATCATAAAATGTGATCTCAGTCAGGAAGCCCCGGACAAAACAGTTTAACCCGTTTATACTCAAGGTTTTTCTATTAATTGATATTAAAATACTAACTAGGCCTAAACAGTTATAAATTATTATTTGATTTACAAAAAATATTCATAGCGACACTCAACATGGTTTGTTATCATTTAGAAGATATATTGCTAACGAATTACAAAATCTTTTCAGAAACCAAAAAATCATAGACCATCGATGTCACAAATACTAAATTCAACTGTAACACACTTTTTTTCAATCAACAAAAAACGTAAACGACGTTGTGCTTGTCATAAAATTACTATAAAGTTCTGTAAATCTTGCAAAAAGACAATTCATATGAAGTGTTTCGAAAAATATCACTCAAATAAAGAGAGTTAATTTTTTAAAATTATTTTAGTTGTTGAAACAGGCAATGCTTAAGTATTCTTTAATATTTAAGCGTAAATGAGATCTGAATCATTGTTAGCCGAAGTCTAGTTGTTTAGATATTCGGCACTTAACAGGTATATCTTTAAGGATACGGTGAGCATAAACAGATTTAAAAAAAACAACAGATTTTTTCACTATGTTCGAGTCAGGATGCGTTTGGTGTTTAACCATTTGTTTTATATTTTTTAAATAAAACACATGTTAAATAAAACACACACACAACATGTTAATACTGAAAACTTGCACTTTCTATGTTAAATATTTAATTTTGGAGCTTATAAAAAGCTTAAAAACAAAGAAAAATGATTGTATTAAACTCCAATTGTGTTTCTCAGCAATCGGAAAATAATACTGGCTCACTGGTACCAATTTCGATCTTTTTTCGAAGTGAGCGTAACTTTATAGGAGTAGCATAAGCTTTGTTGTGATTTTTTCTTCATGTGTCAAGCTCATCGGTTAGATGATAATATCTGGACCAAAGGACGAAAACTATCCATGAGAAGAACCAATTTTAGGATGTTCCCTAGTGAATGTATTTGTGATTTACTTATGAGTTTCTATGAGCACTTAACAAGTACCGGCTAAGTATTTTTGTAAAATGGTACTTGTCAAAGTATTTGAAAGTACTTGTTAGGCAAGTGATTCAGTTTGAGTACGATGGTGTGAAATATAATGTTCTTGTTAAAATCCGCTGTAGTATGAAAAATTTCAAAATTTGACAACTGAAACCTGGGCTCTATGGGGGTCATTGTTTGTTGTGCTAGTCAGTACCATCTGAATGGAAAGATAATCATAAGATAGAATCCGGATTTCATATTGGACGAACTGCCTTAGATACTATCAACCTATACAAAAAATTCATGATGAATACGGCGAAATTAAGCGTAGCGGAAAAGATTATGCAACTCAAGACGGTTTAACATCTAAGCCATTGAGCGAAGATGATCATCACTGTATCACAATTACTCACTAATATATAAATTCAGCAAACTGGGTATTAAAATTATGTATCGCTTGCAAGCAAATGTTCTTAAATGGACAGAAACTGGAAAAGACAACATTAAAATAGAAATTATATTTAGACAATAGTCCAAAAATCCGCTTAAAACTTGAAAATAAATCATTTTTTTTATAAATTACTCAATATTATAGTGATCAAAGAATCTCGAAAGCATCATCAATCGGTTCAGCGACGTCCCCTAGAACCATCAGCTCGACTGAATATCTCGATCCTTTCATAGTGTTCCGTCCATTACACATGTTTTTCGTGTATCGCACATGCAAGAGTAGAAAGATCTTTGAATGGCCTGCAGTCCATTACATATTTGTTGGGTAAGAACTGTGCATTAATAATTCTGTGCCGCACTCAATGGTGATAAAAGAACGACTAAATTTCTGGGCGCTCGTGGGCGACATAGTTGTACCGTTCTTCTATACACACAGCATACATGGTGATTGAACGATTCAAAAACTGCAATGTCTACAGTACACAGAGAAACTCGCTTGCATGTTGCCAGCAACTTAGAAGTGACCTGCTTGTAACCGAGTAATAACAACGTATGTTCTTGGTTCCTTTTAAATTAAATACGTTCATCATTTAAATGTATTATGTCTTGACAAAAATATGAATGTAATAATGGCAATGTTAGTAGAAGGCTAGATGAGTTATAAACCAAAATAAAGGCTGCGACTAGATGTCACTATGGATGGGCTTCATTAAAAAGTTTTGTCTAGATTAAAATTCGAATATAGACTTCAGCCCGGATGGCTGTCTACTACGGCCTAAAATTTCGATCTTTCCACCCATAAACCACATTTTTTATCAAAAACTAACATCATATGCGTGCTCAGAGTCAAAAACTGCGTTTAGTGATGTGTCACTCGAAGTTTAGCAAAACTTAGCTTTCGCAAAAATTTGGCTTGACAAAAATGCCTTTGTACCCCCTTGGGTGTTTAGTGAGTGGAACGCCTCCTGGCGTTATTTTTAGATGAAAGAAAAACTTTTGCTGAACTTTGAGTGACACGTCACTAAACGCAGTTTTTGATGCTGAGGACGAATATGACGTTAGGTTTTGATGGAAAATGTGGTTTATGGGTGGAAAGCCGGTTTTAACGTTCAGAAAGGCGTTTATCCCTCTGAACTTACAAAGTCTATATTTCTCTTGTCATACCCATATACAGTAACTATTTGACTACATGATAACGCAAAGATATCCAAAAAATGTTTACTCTCCCGTGCAGAAAAGATATTTCAAAAATAGTCTTAAGATCCAAAATGTTAAAAGATGAATCAAATTCTTCCACCTAACTTCCACACTACCGGCAGTGGTCTTCTAATAGGGGATGATCTTCTATTATGGGGGGAAGTTATATTTGGAAACGTGACTTTAACCCAAAAGTGCCATACTCTTCAGTGTGACTGCTGAATCTCAGGAATGAGTGAAAAAATGGGTAAAAAAAAATTCTGATTAAGCCATTTGAAAGAGCATC